CGAGAGGATCACTTGAGGCCAGGAGTTCAAGACCAGCCTGGGCAACATAGACCTTGTCTCTACAGAAACAGCAACAATGAAACCCCCCAAATTATAAGAGAAAATAGCAAATATTAAGATATACAATACTCACCACCTGAACTTTGCAGAACCAATGAAAACATTTCATCATGAATATTAAAATCTAGTGATTCAATTGCATCCATTAAAGAAATTCCACAAATTGCAAGCAGTCAAGGAACAGATGATAAGAAAAAAACATGAGCTCAAGAAAAGAAGGTACAGAAAATAATACACACTGTGGAAAACTAAATGAAACACAGATAACAAAGGGGAAAAATGCAAACCAAATGAAACGAAGGAAAATGAAACGTGTTCTGGCAATTGGAGACTAGAATTTCAGACCAACCCTCACACTAAAGAGAACTAGAGAAGATGCACAAAACATTTATTTAAACAATTCTGCTTAAACATTGAAAATCTAGTAGGATGAAAGTCCTTGTGCCAAGATTCAGGAGACAGAAATCCAGGAGTGAGTCTGACATTTGGGATCAATTTTGCCTAGGTAACATTTAAAAATCTGGAAAAGAGACTGAGGGGCTGATTAGAAGTTGTGATGTCCTTTTGGGGAAGGCAGAAAAGACTGGCACACAAGATCTACCAAGGGTGGAAGCTCTTATGAGCCCTTGTACTTTTGATCTAGACCCCCATGTCTGAACCCTGGGAATGATGGTGAGCCAGAAGTGCCCATACATAATCTATAGCCTAGACTTATTTAATCTGGGTGACCCAGATGATCTCAGTTCCTAAAACCAGATGAAGATGTTCTCAGACACTGGATAGTGACTCCAGGCACCTGGCAGAAGCAAACAAAACTTGTCTCTGGGTAAGAGCATCTTAGATATCAATTTTTTTCTACAACTTTGCAAACAAAATATTGGCATGTAATTAAAGATAACTAAGTCCAAGAGTAGAGAACATGAAAGAGAAACAACACGCAATAGAAACAGATCCTGAATTGGCACTAAATGTTGGAACTGTCACACATACAGAAGTTATATTCACAAAACTTGGACATTTTAAGTAATAAATGGCAGTAATAAATTATAACCTGAGAAATAAAATAGGAATCCATGTGTTCATACTGATATAAATAAATGAAGAGGGAATAGGTAGAAAGAACTGTTTCTTAAAGCAGAATTCCAATAAATGTAGATGAAATTAGAAAATCACCATTTGGCAACCACCATAGCAATAAATATGAAATATGCAGGGATAATTAATACCAACATAGCTTTCTCTTGATATGCATATGGTGTATCTTTTTCCATCCTTTTACTTTCAAAATTTTGGTAACTTATGTTTTAGGTTAATCTCATAAGCAATATGTTGTTGTTTTTCTGCAGTTTGGTAATTTCTGTCTTTTAAATGGATACTGAATCTATTTTCATTTAATGTAACTTATGAATATTGGTCTTACATCAATGTGTTCCTTGTCACCTGTCCTATATTCCTTCTTCTCTTATGCTTGCCTTTTTTGATGTGATTGAATGCCGTATCATTTTATTATTCCCATTACTTTTGCTTTAACATAAAATTCCAATGTCATACATAAATAGCCTGTACATTCTACAACTTGAAAAATGTAAGCAGAAATTTTTGTCCTATCTCCATACTACCAGATCGACTTAATTTGTTTAGTCACTAACATTTATTCTAAAAGAAAATGTCATAGTGCTACAGTAAATCAAAAAATCACTCGCCATAGAAAGTAACCATAACATTAAATATAGAACAGTCACAGCAAAGGGGCCCATTTTATGTAGCACTTTGGAAAATGCTTCATATTCCACAAGGATTTGCCAAGACCTAAATCTGTACTTCCCTGAATGGCACCCACTAGCCACATATTACTATTTAAATTTAATCAAATAAAAATTTAAAAACCTCAGTTTTGCGGTCACCCTGGCTATCTTTCAAGTGTTTAAAACCGTATGAAGCTACAGGACGTTGTGTTGGACAGCACATCTGAACATTTTCATCACTGTAGGACATTCTGTTGAACAGCTCTGTTCCAGACCTTCTCTAGCAACTCCCCACCCATGTCCCCTCCTCATGCATAGCCACATTAGTATCTCTGTCTTGAAACGTGTCAAAGCTCTTTTCCTAGTTTGGGCTTTTGCACATTCCCATCCCTTTACCTGAAATGCTCTGCCCTACTAGCTTCTTACCATTTCCTTTTTTAGGACTCATTCATACATAAGACCTTCTCTGACAATCTGAAGTATCCCCAGCCTCTACACTTCATTATTTCCCATCTCAGTCATTTGGTTTATTCTTTCACGGCAATCATTGCAATTTGCATTTTATCACGTCTGTTCACTTCCCATCTTTACCTGAGCCATTCCAGTTGTATTTCTATCACAAATAGAGCTTTAGCTAAAAAACAAAACAAAACAAAAAAAAAGGGTGCTTCAGTTAGTTCACAAAAATGTGTACCAAGATAACCATAATAGACAATCTGGAATAAGAAATAGCTCAGTGCAGACAGTTACTTAATAAAAATCTTATTTCACTAAACTATGGATTCCCCAGAATGTTATTGCATTCAAAATACTCAAATGGAAAGACCAACAAGACAAATAAATAAGAAAGTTTATTATATAGTTTAGAGATTTTTAAAGAGAAATAATAAAATAAGACAAGTCTGAGTTCAAATTTAAAAACAATATTTTCTTAAAATGGCTCTATAATTTTAGCTAGAAAAATCAGTAAAAGGGAATGTCCTTAAAAGTGGGAGGGGCCCATATTATGCCTTTTAAAATAGCAAACTGATGTTTAAAAGCATCATCAACAATATAGTATACACTTTAATCTTTACAAAATTGGAGAGTAAGAAAAAAAGTGGAATATTCTGTCAATGCCACAAATTTTAATTTTAATATGTCAAAAAAACAAATCCTAAATTAGTCATGCAGTAGCATGGGGAAGGTAATCTGCATTTACTGTCAGAGTAAAGAGAGACGACAGGTCAGGTGTTTAGCACAGTAAATTACTACTCTGATAGCACTTACAAAACTGAAAGAAAAAGTTAGGTATTGTCAGTAGACCCTTTATTAATGGTGAAGATAGCTGCCAAAATAACCAAACAGCTGACTCAATTGTCTTATCTATGTATCTTTTTTTTGAGTCAGAGTCTCACTCTGTTGCCAGACTGGAGTGCAGTGGCACATTCACGACCCACTGGAGCCTCAACCTTCTGGGCTCAGGTGATCTTTCCACCACAGCCTCTCAAGTAGCTGGAACTACAGGCGCGCACCTCCAGGCCCGGCCAACTTTTTTATTTTTTGTAGAGATGAGGTCTTGCTATGTTGCCTAGGTTGGTCTTGAACTCCTGGGCTCAGGCAATCCTCTCACCTCAGTCTCCCTTAGTGCTTACAGGTGTGAGTCACTGTGCCTGGCCCCAACTGTCTAATTATGTGTTAACTCATTTATTTTGTATTGTAGACATACTCTGGTCCCTTCTCTATCTATCTATACAATTCCTTTTTTCCAGCAGCTGGAATCCAGTTGTGCAATTATAGCTGTTGGACAAACTTCAGTTACAAGACAAAAGACCTTTAACTGCACAAGCAAATCATTTATAGACTGGAAGATGTTTTTAGGAATACTGGCTTAATCAAGACTGTAGTTATGGTCCGAGAGCTTTTATGAAAAGTTCAATTAAAAATTTTGCTTTAGAATAATTTTATTGGTATACGGTTACTAATATAGAGGGTCGCTGAACTGAAAAAAAAAAAAAAGACTTAATAGCACATTTCCACTGGAAATATAAAGCTCTGGATGCTGTGATTAAGTAAACTAAGAAATAGTTCTAAAATTTTCTTTTGCAACATAACAAAAAGATACTCAAAACTGAAAGGTAACAGTTTTAACAAACAGCAGATTTAACTACATAGCTTTCATTCTACAAACAATTAAATTGTGAAATATTCCTCAAGCCAGTGAACAAAAGAGGAGACCACTATTTTTGTCACATTCCACAATTCTGAGAACTAGGATTACCAGTTCTAAGACTTTTACATTTTTAGACAACAGAAAATGGTATTATAATCAGGAAACGGCTACCTAAAGGATATCCCTTCTCTGGGGTCATAAGAATTTTCTTTTGTTTTTTTCTTTATTCAAAACATTTAGTAAAAAAAAAAGACAAAAAGAAAATTTGGTTAGCTCCTTGCCCTTCATGATCTGTCTGCAATTTTCTTATACATGCTTTCAAAGTCATTTGAAAATAAGACCATTTCTTTTGCTGGGTAAATATCTTGTACAAATTAACTGCACAATACATGTTTCTTGAAATGAACAGAAACGTTTACACCAGTGTCATCATGTTACCTATAGAGAAGAGGATACACAACTACTGGGACAAGTAACAGAGGCTTACAGTTTTAACAGAAACCTGTGAAAGGCTATGATCAAATTAGAATTATAAATGGTTATCTTAATTATTATTACTACTACTGTCTGCAACCAGAATTCATTTCAAATCCTCGTAAGGGTCACTTCATGTACATACAGAACTAATATGAACACTGTTATTTTTAGAAAATAAACGTTTTACATCGTAAGGCTAGAAGCAGTTTAATGTAATCAAAGGTTACAGCTCTGAGAAATATGATGATAGGATATTAAACTTCCAGGTTACACAGGTGTGTTAACTCTTGGTTTGCTTTAAGTATTAATGAGCTATATTCAAAGTAAATCCTCAACTCTCATCACACTATTTATAACTGTCCAATAATGACAGAGCTGTGGAATATTTGAAGCATGAAATGTAATGTTTTTTGTTTTTTTCCAGAGGGTAAGAAAGCAGGAGTTGATTAAGAAGACAAAAAAAGCTCTCAAGCGGGAGGGGACCTGAAAGAGGGTTGCCTGAAATGTAATGTTAATGACAAATGTTTCAGAACATCAGGAATAAGATTAATAAAGAGCAAAGTAAATCTAGAACAAGAAAAGGGAAGGTACATTTATTAAAAATAAGAATAGTACACAGTGTCTGATAACAAACAAAAACATCATTGGAATCCAAAGACATCCAATATACATTGTAACAATGTACACACGTATTTTAAAAAAACAAAGACTCATAAAACTTTCAAAAGAAAAAAAATATTTTGTCTCTCTCTTTCTGGAGATCTGCCTACACACACACACCATGCTAGACCACATTCCCTATCAAATGTTCTGTACAACACGGTGTTGCACAATGTGTGCAATTACTTTGAAGAACAATTTCTGAAGAAAATCGTGGTTTCTGTATGGATGATCCAGAACATAAATCAGGGTGGTTCCATTTCATAAAAAAATATTCATAGGCTGGAAGAGCAGTGACAACCGTTTTCCAAAGTCTTCAGTTTTAACCAAAGGTACAGAATAAACCACTAAATCTAGATGTTTTCACATTATTTTGCATGAGTATCAAGTACTATGTAAAAATTAATGTAAAATCTTAAGTTACTCTTTTAGCATGGCTGATACATCTTTTCTGCCTTTGTCACTAATAATGCTTGCCAAACCACAGGAACTTTGAAAACAGAATATGCACTGCTGAAGGAAGATAGTACCAACAATGTTATGCTGAACTTCAGTCTTAAGACACACACAGTTCCTGCTGGATATCAGATTGTGAAAGTTTATTATCTTCAGTCTTTTCATGTCCTGGGGCATGGCAAGTAGTCTTCCGCTTAAATAATCGAAGACTCAATCGTAGTAATTCATTGTCTACCATTGGAGCATTCGTGTAAGCTTGTTTTACAGTACCCTATTTGGAGAACACAAAAATAAATTTTTAAAAAATGTACACTATTAGTTGACAGTAGGAAAGATGGGCAGGTAAACCGCTATCCAAAATAACAAAGTTGTAAGAGCACTCAGTTTTGGATAGATACTAAATTCACTTTATTGGATTTAAAGGCAAAATTAGAAAATGTGTTCAGGCTCAAAAAATGTTAGAGAAGGGAAAACCCTTTAGAAGATACCTAGTCTAACCTCTTGCTTAAAGTAGAAATCCTCTCAACAACTTCTGACAATCAGTCAGTTTTTACTTCATTACTTCTAATGACAAAATAAAAAACAGTACACATTATACATATCGTTGAATGGCACTATTTCTTCCATGTGATGAAATAAAATCTCTTCTATGGAGTTACACTAATTCCATGTTACTTTTACTTGACAATCCTTCAGTTCTACAATGAGAAGTATCATGGCTTCCTTCTTCACTTTTTTTCCCTTTTGTAAGCCAAACAATCTATACTCTACTGGTCTTTTAAAGTCCCATGAAACGAGGGCTCTAGAACCAAATAAGTTCTTTAGAAGACAGCTAGTCATGCAGTATACTGAAGAACTACTACCTCCCTTACAATTTTAGTGCCTAAAATGTATACCTATATTATTGTAACTTACAGTCACATCATTTTTTTTTTTTTTTAGAAAATTACTGTGACAAAAGGTACCAGGAAATGTCACAAAGTATTTTTTACAAAAAGGGGGTAGGATTCTGATGAGATTATAAACCATTCTATCTTTCTCAACTGGAGTTTCTTATCTGAATCAAACAAAATGATTTGAATGATTATTTTTCCACCTAATACCAAGGAGGGGGTAACTAATACCATTCTAGATACATAAAAGACGTAATTTATTACACAGATATTTAGGGCACTGGGGCTTAATTCTCTCAGAGAAATGTCCAGTTGAAAAGGTTGCAAGGCCTAGACAAGAGAATAAAGAGAAGTGTATACTGAAATGAAGGCAGCAAAGGAGAATAACTGTAGCAATTTTATCAAGTAATTTTGAGTCACAACTTTAGGCAGGGAAAACTTGTTGGTTATATAGTCAAGACTTGATTAAAAAAATTTTTTTTTTAAAGAGACAGAATCTTCCTCTGCCACCCAGGCTGGAGTGTAGTTATGTGATCATTGCTCACGGCAGCCTTGAACTTTTGGGCTCAAGCCACTTTCCCACCCCAGCCTCCCAAGTAGCTAGGATTATAGCGTGTTCCACCATGCCTGGCTAATTTTTAAATTTTTTGTAGAAATGGGGTCTTGTTATGTTGCCCAAAGCAGTCTTGAACTTCTGGCCTCAAGTGATCCTCTCTCTTCGACCCTCCAAAATGCTGCAATTACAGGAATAAGCCACTGTGCCCAGCTAAGATTTGACTTTTAGAGTCTCCTATCACTCATATCTGTTTCCATTTTAATCTTTGGAGATATACTTATCCTGTTCTTTTTCATACATTTAATTATCCCCAGTCCAAATCTGAGTATTTTTCTTTAATAAGAAAATCCTTTCTTTAGCAATGTCATATAGTCAAAGATAATTCTACGTCTTCTTAACTGCCTTCGAGTAAAAAACTAGTAAGTTAATGTTTTTCAACTTTAAGACCAATTCTCTTTTGTCATACATGTTGGGCATCCCTTATTTGAAATGTTTTGGACCAGAAGTGTTTTGTATTTTAAATTTTTTTTGATTCTGGAATATTTGTGTTATATGTATCCAGTTGAGCATCCCTAATCCAAAAACCCAAAATTCTCCAATGAGCATTTCCTTTGAGGGTAATGTCGGGTATTCAAAAAAGTCTCAGATCAGGAATACCCAATCTGTACAACTCATGCCCACCATACTCACCACCAAAATAAAAATTCCAGTTTCTTAACTTTAAAAAGTCTAAAATGTCTTCAATTAAAGTTTATTAACTCTTTTTATCAGATTGCTTCCAAATCTAAACTAATTTCTATTTTTCTTACTTTTCAATTCCCTTTATTCTTCTCAAATCAATGCTTATACATACTTATTTTGCTTTATTTCCCTATCTTCCTACTTGGTACATTCTCATAAATACTATTTCTATAAATATCCTCAACACTCCGTCTGGGACATTTTTTCCCCCTGATTTTCAATTTAAATACATTTCTAATATGTTTGCTTATTAAAAGAAGCTTTCCACAAATGGAAGAAAACATTTCACAAAAATACCATTTTAAACTTTATGCATCAAATTTTGAATAACAAGCAATTGTTATTAAAAATAACAAGCAATTGTTATTCAAAACAAATATTCATGAATACTACTAAAGTAAAATGAAAAGTGTTAAAAATTTTAATAGAATTCTTTCTCTTACATGTATGAAAGACCAGGAAACAAAACTCTTAAAAACATAACATCATAATCTCACTTTAAAGCAATCAAATGAAAAATATTCAATTCATACTATTTATTTTGCATTTACTCCAAGGAAATAATAGTACCTTCTCATTTTTAACAAGCTGCTTTCGGATCGCAGAATCCCGCCTGAAGCATAACGCCTTGCAACATGGTCCGAGATTACTAAGAAGACTTGCCCTTTCTTCTTTTCGTAGTAATGCAGCCATGTTGAGAGCCCCTAATTCATGTTCAAAAAGACTGTCTGCATCTTTCAACAAAAATAAACATGTATTACAATTTACTAAACTAAAAAAGTGTTACCAACTACTTAATTGAAATTATGCAAAGTCTATACTTTACCAAAGTTGTCAACATTGGTGAGAATTATTTCATATAATAAAGGCAATATATTACATGTAGTGATATTGCTAGTCTCAAACATAAATACATATTCTGATAGCCACTTTAAATTTAAAATAAAGAAAAGCAGACTTGAGAGAAAAAATTAATTTAGAAACAGATGACAACGAGAAAAGTTCAAGTTAAAAATTACTGGAAAGAAAGGTAAAAAAGAATTACTAAAGTCAAATTCAGTATACTGTTTATCAACTACTACTTAAAGTTCTAGATTTCTAGATTTTACTATTTATTTATTTATTTTGAGTTGGAGTCTCACTCTGTCACGGCCACTGCAGGCTCGACCTGCTGGACTCAGGCGATCCTTCTGCCTCAGTCTTCCAAGTAGCTGGCACTACAGGCACACGTTACCATGCCCAGGTTATTTTTTTATTTTTTGTAGAGATGAGGTCTCACCAAGTTACCCAGGCTGGTCTTGGGTAATCGTCTTGCCTTAGCCTCCCAAAGTGCTGGGATTACAGCCTTGAGCCACTGCGCCCGGCCAGGATTTTATTATAGAAAGATTCAAATGTAATAATAATATTCAAGACTGTGACCTTTAAAAAAAAATCAGTTAAGTTAGAAAAGTAATCTGCAAATTTTGTCCTAGATTTGGTCATCATAAAAACTTGGGACACAGCCCTGGCAACAAAGTGAGACCCTGTTTCTACAAAAGAAATTTAAAAATGAGCTAGGTGTGGTAGTGCATGCCTGTAGTCCCAACTACAAGTGGAAGGACTGTCTGAACCCAGGAGGTTGAGGATGCTGTGAGCCATGACTGCACCACTGCACTCCAGCCTGGGCAACAGAGCAAGACCTTGACTCAACAAAACAACACAAAACAACAACAACAACAACAAAAAAACACAACACAAAACACCTGGGACAATGTATTAAATTAAAATCTCTTAGTTTTAAGTCACAAGATACAAAGGAGAAAATACTGAACATATACACAAATAGAAGAATTAAGAAAGATTTGCTAAAATATAAAGTGGTTGGATTAAAAATAGATAAAAGGGAAGCCAAAATAACAGAAAAGGACCAGTCAGTAATCCAAATTTATAACTCTGAGTTGGCCAATAGTACCAAAGACAGCAGGTACTGCCTTTATTCATACAACATGATCAAACTAGTTACTGTTAGAGCCTGCAAAATAAAGTACCTAGTAAAAACAAAACACACATATTATTGGGAATGAATTTAGCTGCATTACCTAGTTCATTTTAATTTTAGGAGATGCAAAGCATAAGTACTGAATTTAGATAATTAAAATAAACCAGTTTCATATAGCATACCTAGTCAATAGGTTATGTACCTAGTCAACAGGTATGTAACATAAGAAAAGTATAAAATCACAGGAAAACACAAAACTAGCTCCCAAACTCTGGAGTCTACCAGAATCATCTGAGGAGCTTTATAAAATGCATCCCCTGGGCTCTGCACCAGATCTACAGAATTCAAATCTCCATAGTTGGACCAGAATATCAGAAGAAAAAACAAAAAAAGCAGTTTTTCAAATGATTCAGATATATATACCAATGTTTGTGCCAACCTATGACATAGTCAAACATACATGTGATTAAAAACAAAATATTTACTACCATCCTACTATAGATACAAACATGGAATAAGAGCCCATGCTCTTCCTTGAAAACTTCATTAGGGCACATTTACTGCAACCTTACTTTTTGCTTTAACAGTAGGATACAAAATGTAAACCTGCAGACCTCCTTAGAGAGTATAACGTGGCTAAACGTCCAGTCTCTTCATGGTTTTGAACTGAACAGCACCGAATTATTCAGACTAAACACATACTTAAGAAGAAATAAAACAAAGAAGCCAAAATAATTGGAAGAATTGAGCTCAAAATAACGTAAACATATTGCAACTAGAAAAGCTAGACAAAAGCAATTACAATTTCAGTGTACCTTATTTGTTTTTTTTAAAAAAATATATGGGGTAGGGGTATACTTTCTTTAGTGCTGGTACACTGCAACAGATCAACTGGAATAGAAAAATCAGTACTGATTATTTTACAAATATTTACGGAATGCCTACTGTGTGTTAGGCGCTGTTCTAGGCAATGGCATAATTAGTAAGAATACATAATTAGGACCGGGATAGGGTAGTAAACAAAACAAAGTTCTTATTCAGCTAATATATCAGTTGTCCAATATAACCACCACAGCAGCAAAAATTAGGAGAGGTCTGACTGTTAAGCAACTATCATCTCCCCTTTATAGTGTATATTTTCATTGTTTAGGCTATGTCATCACTAAATAGGGGCCAAACTGTATTTCACAATTAGATTTTAACTTTGAAATGTCATTAGCAAAAGTCATAGGAGCAAACAGCTTTAGAGTTGAATAAGACCTTAAGGGTTTTATTCCATCACTTTACAAATGAAACTGAGGTCCACAGGAGTTACTTGCTTAAAGCCATAGAACCAGCTAAACAAGGTAGAAAGAGTGAGGCAAGAACTCAAATCTTTAGTTATTTTTTTGGTTTACACATTTTCACATACACATTTCATACACGAACACTCAATGTTTATTGGACCATATTAAAATAAATTTACTGCTTATCCTACCAGATGAAAGGAAGGACATGGATTCAAACTCATACTTGCCCCCCCAGTTTTCTGTTGGTAAAAAATTTAATTCTTTAAAGTTTTTTGCTCCTAGGGACGTGACATAAATTAAATAATGTTGCTGTTTTCATCTTTTACCTCCTTTTCTTTATTTTTGCTGTCTACTTCCCCCCATTAATAAAAGTATTAATATGCTGCAAAACAAACTAAGGTAGGTGCTAGATAAGAGAAACAGCAGAAACAAAAACCAGCCAACCAAACAACCCCCCCCTCACGCCTCCAGAATCCCTATACTAAATAATCTGGAATAATTGAAAATTGTTTCAGTAAAGGTAAAAAAAAAATCAATGTAATAAAGTATTTTCAAAGTAATAGTAGCAGTTAACATTTACTGCATGTAACTACATGCCAGGAACTGTGAAAACATGCAAAATACCTGGTCTATTTTTCTAGGCTTTGTTTCATTTAGCCCTGGGTAAGCCAGTGAGCACTTTGACATTTGAACTCATTCTGCAACTTTTCTGCGGGATTACATTTTTCTTAAAATAAATTTTAATGAGGAATTTTGACCATGAGGATTAAATAATGACTATAAATGATTCCTCAAAAAAAGTTCCTACAGTGTGTTATATAAGAACAGAAAAGAATCCTTTTCAAATGGTATCTTAGTAATTATAGTAGACATTATATAGTTAAAGTAAAATGAAATTACCTTTGGGTTTTTCTAAAAGTCTCTGACATGTTTCTTTGACTTTGGTAAAGAGTTCAGATCCTGCCAACTTTTTAGAAATCCCAACTCTTAGCATAACAGCTCCAGGTGTGAATTTTAAGAGTGCAGCTCCAGGCTCTCTTGGTTCTTTTGGATGCTTTGGCATAAGACCAGACCAATCCACATCTATCACATCCAAGGGATCTGTAAAAAGTTAAAAATGAGGATGTATTTTACACCAAGAAATTGTAGTCTTGTTATCCACATATCTAAGTCAAGCAACACAGAAAACATTAAATAACAAGCACTTTAAACCCAAGATCTCATACCGTTAAAATGAAAGTTTTCCCATATAATATTTGGAATTGAAGGACCCTTATAAAGAGAAAAAAACTTCCCACCAAAACAAAACAGATAAGCTAGCCTATCTCTACAAATAACTCATTTAAACTGCATGGGAAATCGCCAATAAAATAACTATTATTTCACTCATATTAGGTCTAATCTTTTAAAACCTGGTACCAGAATCCTTTTAAGGGTTAAATCTAAGAGTATATTTAGTGTGTGCATACACACACATTTTAATTTTTTAAAAAAAACTATTTCACTATGAAATCTCTTTAAGAATCAGGCAGTGACTATTATTAACATTGAGAGCAAATAATCTATTCATTGAGAAGGTACAGTTGACAAAATAATGTTCTACTTAGAAATACCTAGTACCGGCCGTGCTCGGTGGCTCAGTCTGTAATTTCAGCACTTTGGGACTGAGGCGAGTGGATTGCCCGGGTTGAGACTCACCCGGGCAACTTGGCGAGACCTCGTCTCTACAATAAATCAAAAATTAGCCAGGCGTGGTTGCCTGTAGTTCTGGCAACTTGGAAGGCTGAGGCAGAAGGATCGCTGGAGCCCAGCAGGTGGAGGCTGTGGTGGCCAGGAGCATGCCACTGCACTCCAGTCTGGGCAACAGAGTGAGATTCCAACTCAAAAAGAAAGAAAGAAAGAAAGAAATACCTGGTACCAGAAAACAACAAAGATAACAATCATACATATCTTGTACATTAGCAGAAAAGAAATTGTGAAATATAAAAGCAAATTAAATCAAAATAAAAATTTAATATTTTACACAACCAGACAAAGCAAAGACTCCTTATGGTTTAAAAAATTGTTAGTAACAGTCAGACACTAACTGGGATGATTCAAGAGGAAGGTGAAGGAGTGGTACCTCATGGTGTCATCACTAGAGTAAGCTCTGGGAATGCATTAAGTACTATAAGTCAAAATAATTACTGAATTTAGAAAGTTGATAAAAAGAGGTATAGAGTAGGAGACAAATAAAAAGAAGTATAGAGTAGTATTCAAATATAATTTCAGATATTATAACTGTTTGAAAGGTGTTTAAAAAGTTGGTTACCTGGCATCTTCTCTTCATCCTGTTGGTCCTCCCTCTTTTCTGCATCACCTGCCAGGATTTCATCTAGTTCATCATCACTGATCGGTTCATATCCTTCTCCAGCACCAGAGCCTAACGAATGTGCATCGTCTAACTTGGATTCATCATCTCCTGCTAAATTGGCAAATTAATTTTATTTCAAAGACAGCATTAAAGGAAAAAGATGCCTAAGTCAACCCAAAAGGTAGAAGCTGTGCACACTAAAACAATGTAAAAAACATTTTTAATCTGAAAACTACATTTCTTAATTATTCAAACACTTGGTAATTTCAAAGGAAAATTGAAAAATAAAAATTAATGAGTTTAATTTTAATGGCAAAAATGTAATATTGGCAGAAACATCAGAACAGGTTATAAGATTAAAACGTGACAAAAGCTACCACTAACTAACATATTAATGCTGTTTATATGTTGTTAATTTTTGATAACAAAACTTTAAAATTCAGACAAATTTAAAAACTTCAAAAGGCTGTAGTAATTTCTTTACCTTAATAAACTCATTAATTAAAAAACTTGCAAACTTATTCAAAAAATATGTTGGAAACGCAGATCTTAATTCATAAATACTTAGCTTATTATATAAACTTTATAGCAGTGAGGTAAAAATGTTAAAGTGCTGTTCTTTCTCCCTCATCTCCTAATTCCTCTTCCTTATCCCAATGTTTCCCTTTAACTGGTGAATGCAAGTTTTAGAAGAATGTTGTAATACAATGTAAAGATATATTTGTGTGTGTGTGTGTTGGAGTCTCACTCTGTCTCCCAGACTGAGTGCAGTGGCCGCTCCCGGTCTCTGCAGCCTCAACCTGCTGGGCTCTGGCGATCCTTCTGCATCAGCCTTCTGAGTAGCCAGAATTACAGGCAAGCGCTACCACACCCGGCTGATTTTTTGATTTATTGTAGAGATGAGGTCTCGCCAAGTTGCCCAGGTAGGTCTCGAACCCGCGGGCTCAGGCAATCCACTCTCCTCAGCCTCCCAAAGCAAGGGATTACAGGCTGAGCCACTTAGTACTACTAGTGTATGCTCTATCTTTGTTTTACCAACTTTTCTCAACTACCTAGGCTAAATTTTGTCTCCTGATGAGTTAGTTGTGAACGCAATCCTAAAATTACAGAGTACGTTTAATATTTCTACTCATTAGCTATCCATACACTTTTCTGAATCTACAACACTAGGTTCTCAAATCCACAGTATGCTTCATGGGTGTGAATTCGCAGCAAATAAATATAAGCAGCTTTGAGATGTTTCTAGTCATTCCAGTGAGTTTCTATTTTATTGAGTTCTATAATAACCACTCTGTGTGAACATCACAGAGTAGGGGAAAAAAAACCAAACAAACAAAAAACCCTTTCCACAGTCCCACCAATTCACTTCTATAACCAATTTTAATAATTTAATCACACAAATATACATCTAAACAATGCACATAAAATTTTAAAATTTTCAAGTTTATCCAACTCCTTTTCCTACTTTAAGTGAACAAAATCTTTATATCACAAAGCAGGTGATTCATCTATAAAGTTCTATGCTATTATTATCTATGATAATAACTAGTAAATGATTTATTTTAGAGATGAGGAACACTGAATCCAATCACAAGAAAGCTATTACAGTGATTATTCAGATATGTTCAATTACATTCCAAGGTTATACCTCCATTAGAACCATGTTTATGATCTGATGCTGTTTCCACTCAAAATTGAGATAAAATGTAATATGAAGAGAGGTAAGAAATATTTCTGTCAAGTCAAATAGGAAAAATATATAATAGAGGACATATTGGAACATCTAATCAGATAACCAAAAGAATCTACTTCTGTAAACAGTGGATTTTACTTACTATGGGCCCAATGCTACAAAATGGCAAAGTAATGCCATATTATTCCTTATATATTAAATTCACGACTGCTGACATGAATTTTACGTCCTTCCAAATCTGTTCCTGGTTGCCGCTGATGTGAATTTACCTCCTCGTGGAAGACTGTTTATAATCCAAATAAAAATACAAAGTATGGAATGCTAGTCAGAGTGGTATCTGAGGCAATTACTAGATATGACTGCAACTTTCAGCTGTACTGTGAAAAAGGTGACAATTTAGAAAAGACCATTTCACTTGTGCTTAATGACAGAAGTTTGCAGCAACCAGCTTCAGATTTTTAAAATGTTTACCTGCTCTCAGTATTAGGAAAGTGAAAAAACTTGCTGGTTGCGAATGTGTTAAGCATCCCAAAAAGTTCTTGGGGGCTTGAAATAGAGAGGCTAACCAGAAAATGGTGTAAGCACTGACACCAGAAATAGACAGTACTGGAGGCAGAACTTTTAGATTTCTCAGGGGAGTCATTACTGCTGTTAACCTAGATTATAATTTACCAAGGAATGAGATATGGGGGGGGGGGAGGCATGTATGTACAGGCAGAACACACCTTTATTCACCAACAATTTACTGTATCCTCACTGTAGTCTTGATGATAAAGAATGAAAAGCTATGGTCCATAACAAAGGAGTTCAGCACAGTGGGGAGAAGACCATGGAAAAATAATTATAATACAGTACAAAAATGCTATAAACGACATACAAACAAGGTGCTACAGGTATATGAAAGAGTAAGTGCCTTCAGTAGAGAAGGCTTCATGGAAGAAACAACACATAAGCTGGGACTTGATGTTTGAGTAAGAAAGAAGAAATAAAGGAAAAAGGTTTATTAGGCAATGGTTTGAGTGGGTACAAAGCTTAAGAATGGAGAGTCATTAGTCAATTTGTCTAGAAAATTGGGGCTGAAGAGTAAAAAACAGAGAGTGAGGTTCCACACAGTGAGGCTAGCTCTGAGTGGGCCAGTAGGTTGATGTGGACGTCTGAGTGTTCCTATGCTAGGAGTGGGCAATGCCAGTAGGGTTCCACAGTCAATCTGACATTAAACACAGTTTCAGGTAGTTTCAAGTAGTGCAATTGTTTTCATGTATTTGTCTTGAATTGTCCAGAAGACAGGGATCACTAATAGTTACCTGAAATCTTCTCCACACTAAGAAGTCATTTCTATTTTTGTGATTTATTTTTTTAACATTTAAGAAAAGGAAATGATGGTTATTCTTTAACATCTATAGATGCTATATCTCAGCAAATCTACTACTACTGCAGGGGACATCAAAAAATATATATCATAGGGCTTTTCCTTATGAAATCTACTTCCCCTATAAAAGAATGGAGTCAATTTGCCTATTAGTGGCTGACCTTTCAAAAAGTTGCTTCCCATGAAATCCGCAAAGAAATAAAGCACTGTAAGTAAACAGACAAAAGGGAGTGACACTCACCTTCCAAACTCTCAGTTCTCTCGGATTTATTTACATCTTCAAATCCTTGCACAGATCCCAGATCTTTATCCAGTCTTTCTTTATCCAAAGCTACGGAGTCTCGGGAAGTGCCTTCTATGTCTCTTTCATGTTCACCCTCCAGTTTTGCTTCACAGCGTTTCACAGATTCTATTTGAGAACTCTCAAAAGTTCTGTCTCGGTCTCTGTCCCTATCCCTTTCAACAGAATCAGAAATGAGTCTCTCTCTTTCCCTATCCAAGTCTCTCCTTTTGTCTCGCTCTCTTTCTCGTTCCCGTATCCTCTCTCGATCCCTATTCCGTATCCAATCTTTATCAACCTCTCGATCCCATTCTCTCTGCCTGGTATCTCTTCTCTCTCTCTCTCGCTCTCTTTCATGGTCATATCGATCTCGTTCTTGAAGTCTATCCCTGCTATCAAACGACCCAGATCTTGAATGGACCTGTCGATCGGACTCAGGAGAACTTCGTCTTGAACTATGGCTTCTTGAATCCTGGCGATCTAAAATAAATATACCATAAACACAGAATTAGCACATGATAAAATAAAACAAAATGCTTCGTTTTAGGGTCTTTTAAATTAGGTTTATTTTTTCTGTCTTATGTAGTTTTTTAATATCCTACATTCTGCCTACATATTCTATATATTTCTATATTCTACATATATGTATATATGCATTATCCAAAAAACTCATTTTAAGGAAAACCTGATCTTTTTCAGTTAAACTGCTAATTAAAGTATGTAAAGTTTTTTTTGTCTATTTATACTGTAACTACAAAAGCTCTTCAAAGAAATACATAAAATGATTAAACATTATAGAACTGATCACTTCATTATTTGACATCTTCCTACTCTTCTATCTTATCTTTTGTCATCAAAAGAGGCAGCTGGCTGCTGGAAAAATAGCAGGAAGGTTAAAATTGTAGGCATCAACAAAGGATTTGAACACATAAGCCCTAACACCAAGTATACCACTAACATCCTGATATTAAACTGATTAACACTAATGTATCTCTATTATAATGCTGGTAATAAAGTATTAACAGGTGACATTTTTAATGGCTTTCTTTTTAAAGTTTCATAAAATGAAAGGCAGCATAAAAGCAATAATTTACCATTACTTTAGAATTATAAATTATATAAGATATACTAACATAGGAAACCCTGACTAAATCACAATTCAATTTTATTACCTGATGAGGTACTTCGACTGGGTTCTCCACGCTTTAACTGGTCAATTCTAGATTTTCTCTCTCCTGTGATTTCCAGGCTTTTTGTTTTTTCTCTGTCTCTTGAGCCACTGTGCAATACTCTCTTTCGACCACTTTGGTCATCCCCACTTCTATGGGCAGAATCATTGGATGGGGAGCGCAGACGACCAGATGTATGACTACGATTACTCCGATTGCTTCCAAGGCTGCTACTCCTCTTTTGATCCACTGGCTTGCGATGTGGCGCATCTTCTATAGTAACATGAGGTGCTTCTACTTTTTCCACTCGTGTTCTGTGGCATTTTCTATGTGAGTCTTCATTGGCAAAAGTGGTACTGGTGGGAGTGGCAGAGGTGAGAATGGTGGCAGCGGATGTGCTAAAGGAGGTGGTAGCAGTGGCAAGAGCAGGAGGAGCAGTTGTAATAGTGGCAGTAGCCATAGGAGGTGGAGGAGGAAGAAGAGTAGACAGAGGAGAAGGGGTACTCCCAGGAGTAGCAGCAGTGGCAGCATGCTCTGCTTCTGCAACCTCTGTCCGGTCAGGCACATCCTCATCAGACCAGTCACTGAATGCTGTCTCTTCTTTTTTCTGAAGATCCTCTAGAATGCCATCCTTATCATTGGAAATTTCAATCAATTCCTCTTTAGTTAATATAGGGGGAGTCCGTGGGCCTCTTTTCTTCTTATTTTGCTGAACTGCTTCTTCATCAGAAATATCAGAATCACCTTTGGATCTTTTATGCTTTTTTTCAATACTTTTCTTTTTTAGTCCTTTTTTGGGTGAAAATACTTGGCCATCTTCAGACGGTGTCTCTAAGTTACCCCTCTCTATTCCAATATCATCCTCTCTCTTTTTCTTAATAGGCTTCTTTTGAATTTTTGCTTTTTTCTTATTTTCATCATAAGTTCCATCAGGTATATCTCGATCTTCAGACTGGTGGTGTCCTATAATGTCTTGTGCACGTGTTCTTAAGCTTTCCATGATTTCTGTCTGTTCTCTCTGTTTATCTAGAGAAGAAATTTTCTCTTTGAGTTCTTGCTCTTCATAGCGCCTTGAACTCTCTTTCCTTTCTGGTTTACGATCCTCCTCTTTCCATCTACCCTGCCTGTCTTCTGTGAGGTGTGATGGACTAAGAGAACGAGATTCTTGAGGCCGTACAACTTGGCTCAAGAGTCTATGTTTTTCATCTACATAAAAGATAAAAGCAATCACACTCTTACCAAGTTAATAAAAACTGCATATTATATATAAACAATAAGTCAACCTCTCACTTTTCATTTTAAAACTTTTATGAAAGCAATAATTTCAGTATAAGTAAAAATATGGCTTTACTACACAAATAGTAAGAAATGATAGTGCTATCGTGATGAAATGTGTATTTCTAATACATACTTCTGTCACAAAAGGAGATATTTAGAGGCAGCAGAGCAAGGCAACTTTTTAACAATCTTAATTCATCAATTCCTACAAATATCAAAGACTACTTACTTTTATCATCTCCACTGTTATAGGTGTCACTGTCAGGAGAATGCTCCCGCCGGCGCTTCGGTGACTGCCTAGGGCTGGGACTCCCTTCATTTCTATAGCGCTTCCTAAATTAGGCAAGAAAATGCAATTTGTACAATTCAAGGGGGTGAAAAAGAGATTTCTTTACAATGTTTTTTTACTAGTATCTTTTTACTATAACTGGAACATGATTGCAGGAAAGCAATATTGTCAGAGCTGTATCATACAAAGGGTATTCGATATCTTTCATTAAAAAAAATCTTTACTTCACTTGCTGAAACTTACAACTGCAGACTTATAATACATGGCAACATTTCTTTCTTGCTTCATTATACATGTAGACTCACTCAACTGAAAATTGCCAGATCTAAATACTGCAAGGTGATAACATATAGGAGAGAAATCAATATTATCAATGTACCATCTAATACAAATATTCATCAAGTTTATTTTTTTATAATATAAAAATGTATTATGCTGGGAAGCTGAATGAGAAAATCTAGTACTGGCTTTGAAGTAAAAACTAGTTCAATTTATATCCACATGACTTATTAGGCAACCTTAAGTAGGATCCTTGGAAGTCACTGAAACTGTTTCTCATCTGAAAATGGTAGAGAGGGGTGAGGAATGAGAATCTGTCTAATAAAACTGCAAATGAGGAATAAATTAGCTATGTCATAAGCCCACTGCCAGGTATGTTGTGGGTACATTGTAAAAATTAGTTCCTTTCCCTTTCTTAGAACTAAATTACTTGTTTGCTGATAAATTAATAAAATTAATACAAATATTCATTATATTTCTCATTTCTTAGTTGAGCTTTAAATGAGTAGTGCTTTATATCTCTTGGGTACTTAAATTATGCTACTGTTTTCCTATATTTTGATTAAATTTGGCCACTTATATTTATTTATTTTTTTACCTATGTGGTCAAAGGTAAAAAAAAATATTGTAGCATGTGCAGCTCCTTTGTATTGATGAGCAACCAAGTGAAAAGAAGGCCCAAGCTTGTGTATTTCTTTATCCAAAGCTCTGCTTATCAATAGCTGTCCTAGAAACTTGCTATGACAAGAGAATGTGTTGAAAGTGACGCTGTGTAAATGTGAAGAGGACTTAAAGGCCTTGCAGTTTCTACTTCTGCCCTCTCGTTATGTTTCCACCATTACTGCAAAAGCAGAGCTCAGACTGATGGAGGCTGGGTAGTCCCATGGAGGAGAAATAAGAGGCCCTAACTGACAGACATGAGTGAGACCATCCTGGGCCATCCGGGCCCAGCAGCACTGTCAGACTGACTGCAGAAACATAAGATATTCCAAGTGAGACCAGAAGAACCACTCTGCTGAGCCCAGTCAAAATCATTAATCTATAGAATCATGAGCAAATAAATGATGGCTTAAACTACTAACTTCTGGGATGATTTATTATACAGCAAGAGATAACTGATACGCCAGAACAAAGTGAAAATGTAAAACATGAGAAAAAGAACTTAAAATTTCTTTCAAGGAAATACTTAAATAAAATTAGAGAAAAATAAATACCATGACAATTTAGTAAACCTACTACATAACAGTAGTTTAAAAAAATGCTGATAAATTCAACTACTGAGATGAGAAAATTAATGAAAGATTAAGATATTAATCTCATAAAGCTAGCTTTGGTTAAAGAGTTATTCAATCCCTAAAGTCCTCTTAGATGATCTAGCCACAAAAAACAACAAAAAAAAACAGGAAGACTTTTGCTACGACAAAGATCAGAAGCATGAAAAAGATACAGGTTTAGGTTGGGTGGGATAGTTCACGACTGTAATCCTAGAAGTTTGGAAAGCTGAGGTGGGAGGACTGCTTGAGCCCAGGAGTTTAAGACCACCCTGGGCAACAAAATGAGACCTTATCTCTACAAAAAATAAAAAAGTTAGCTGGTCATGGTGGCACATGCCTGTAGTCCCAGCTACTCAGGAGGCTGAGAGAGAGGGATCACTAGAGTCTAGGAGGTCAAATATGCAGTGAGCTGGGATCCTGCCACTGTACTCCAGCCTGGGTGATAGAGTGAGACCCTTTCTCAAAAAACAAACAAACAAAAAACCACCACTAAAATACTCAAAAAACAGTTTGAGTATCCCTTATCCAAAATGCTTCAGGTTTTAGAGTATTTGTATTATATTTACTGGTTGAGCATGCCTTATCCAAAAATCCAAAATTTGAAACGTTCCACTGAACATTTCCTTTAAACATCATGTCAGCACTCAAGAAGTTTCAGATCCTGGAGCATTTCTGAATATGGATTTTTGGATTTGGGATACTCAGCCTGTATTAATCAAAGCATAGGACTAGATACAAGATAAATAACAGATTTCAGAATTTTAATCTTGGAAGGTAAAGAGCTAATGAGGTCAGAGAAGAGAGAAGAAATAAAATATATGTGTACCTCCATGTGTTTAAAAAAAGTACCTCTGAAGTTTATGTTAATGTAAATTTTTTCAAAATGTAGGAAGTGGAAAGTGAGTCAAGGAATATGCTACAGAAAGTCATGGCTGCAGATTAAAAAGCAGGTAAGACCTAATAGAAGAAAGCTCCACCTTTATGCTATGTTGTTTGTTCATACCAATAATCCACAATAGTGAGGATAAAAAGCCTAAAGCAAGGAGCCTCCATTCAGCCTGAGGCAAATGAGCTGAAAGAAGGAGCAAGAAAACTGAAGATACATAAATTATTTCCTCAGTTTGTTTTGGCAAGATCAACATCTTTTATCCCAGCTGGTATCAAAAAAGTAATTAACTCTAGTAAGTTTGGTTTTATGCCCATAAAATCTCAAAATTGGCCAAAGTCCAGAATTCTAATGGCCATAGTGATCATGTATCACTGCGTACCCATTAAATAATCCCCAACACAGAGAGGGCTAGTAAACTGACAGTCTGAGGCCACCTTAGCCATCATCTGGAGAAAACCCTTCTGAGAATGGAACGAACACAGAGGGAAACAGTAATATCATTTTACTTTATTTGAGAATCTGGATATAGCTACATCAGAACAAGCAAAAACTCAACTTCTCATATACTTGAGCAAATATAATTTTTTGGGGTTAGAGAAAGAAAAAATGGGAAAATGCTCTCCTATAGATAACATGAGATGTCAAGAACACATTTTTTGACCTCAACGAACTGTATTTCCATAGCACGAGAGGTCACTTTCTTTTCTCTCATCTAGCCTGGCAGTGATTACAGGGATTCCCTCAGTTCCAAGACACCGAACAGTTCCTATAGCCTGGGGATGGTGACTCCATACTTACAAGCATATAAAACTCCAGAAGGAATGGCACAGGCAGTATCTCTTGATGACTAGTTAACAACATTAGTTAGTTATTAAGTGAATGTGCTGGGACACACACTGATTGCTGTATTAATTTAAGAATTATTTTTTTCTACACAATTAAAAATACTTCAAACACTAAACATATATATTTTACATATATTACATAATAAACTTGAATTACTGGGAAATGTAGTGAGAAAAAGTAACAAGACGATAAGTGAAGGCACAATGAAAAGCATTAAATGAAACTTTTGAATTCTTTACTGAAATGTAACTTTTAAAAATCAACCCTCAGCTGGGCTCGGTGGCTCAGCCTGTAATCCTGAGCCTTTGGGAGGCTGAGGTGAGTGGATTGCCTGAGTCCGCAGGTTAGAGACCCGCCTGGGCCGCGAGACCTCATCTAGACAATAAATCAAAAAAATCAGCCGGGCGTGGTAGCACATGCCTGTAATTCTGGCTACTCGGAAGGCTGAGGTGGAAGGATCGCCGGAGCCCAGCAGGTCGAGGCTGCAGTGGCCGGGAGCAGCCACTGCACTCCAGTCTGGGCGACAGAGTGAGACTCCAACTCAAAAAGAGAAACAAAAGATCCACCCTCGCTCAGTCAAGGTTAAAAAAAAAATCAGCCCATTTTAACTATTCTTACTTTGATTTTCTCTCTTCATGTCCATCTCTTGGATTCCTATCTTCCCGGATATCTTCTCGCTTCTCTCTGCGGTCATCTCGTGCCTTGTCTTTGTCGTCCCAATCCCTCTGGCGTTCGCGTTCTTTATCCCTTTCTCTGGCTCTTTCTCGCTCCCGTTCCCGCTCTCGTTCTCTCTCCCGCTCTCGCTCTCTCTCCCTTTCCCTTTCTTCTCTCTCTCGCTCCCGTTCCTTTTCCCTGTCTCGCTCCCTCTCCCGCTCCCGCTCTCGCTCTCGATCATGGTCTCGGTCTCTCTCTCTTTCGCGGTCTCTCTCCTTTTCTCGCTCCCGTTCTCGCTCCCGCTCTCTAGCACGCTCCCTTTCCAGTTCTCTTTCTTTCTCTCTTTCCCGATCCCGTTCCCGCTCCCTCTCTCGTTCCCGCTCCCGCTCCCGCTCCCGCTCCCGCTCCCGCGCCCTTTCATCTCTCCTGTCATCCGCTCTGTCTACCCTTCGATCCTCTCTTCGTTCATCACGCTCAAGCTCGTCATTCCTTCCCTGATGTCGAACTGGTGAGCTTGGTCTTTGATCTACAATGAAAACCAAGTTTTGTCAGTGATTAATTTGACAAATAACCTACTGGCAAGACAGCATGGCAATCTTAAATGTTATCTGTGTAGAGGGTTACACTGGCAACAAATTAGTATCTAAGTACTGTATTTACTTTTAATTTAGCCATTCAAGTGAAAATCACATTAGACCTTTTAAAATTATTTTTTAAAAGATAATTTTATTTGCCCTCTAACTTATGTCTTCTGCTCCCCATCAGCCCCCCGCCCCCTCCCACTGATCCGCCTTTGATCTTTCTCTGCATGCTCCAACCCCACTTTCTGCCATCTCTACCCTTCACCTCTGATCTTCTCTGTCCCCCCAGCAGGACCTGAGAACACTGGTGGCAAAGGATAGGGGCAGCAGGAGGTGTAGAACATAGGAGCTGAAGGAAAAAAAAAATTTCCCTCGTAAGTCACACCTCTAGTTTCAGGCTAAAATGTATACACATCAAAGTGCAGCTATTATGGGAGGAAAATATAGAAGAACAGAACATATGTCAAAATTTGTTGCTGCAATATCAATCTCTTATCATAAACTAGAATATTAAGGGTACTGATGTCTAGCAATCTGAAATAATCAAATGTAAAAAGTGCTTCATATTTATCGTTATAATTAATAACTACTAATAAATTAAAAGTTTTATTTTAATCAAATAAATGATTACTCAGGTGAAAAGCTGTTTTCTTAAATGCTAACTGGTAATCTCATCACATTTTATATATTTTTTCTACTTACACATAAATCACATGAATACAGAGAAAATGAATACATGCTGCTCAAATACCCAGTTGAGCAGGAAATTAGTCTGGGGTCAAAAAGTATGTAAGAGGTTGGAATAAACTTTCCTAAAGAGACACCCATTTTTTTTTTTTTGAGTTGGAGTCTCACTCTGTCGCCCAGACTGGAGTGCAGTGGCTGCTCCTGGCCACCGCAGCCTCGACCTGCTGGGCTCCGGCGATCCTTCCGCCTCAGCCTTCCAAGTAGCCGGAATTACAGGCATGCGCTACCACGCCTGGCTGATTTTTTGATTTATTGTAGAGATGAGGTCTCGCTGCCCAAGTGAGTCTTGAACCCGCGGGGTCAGGCAATCCACTCACCTCAGTCTCCCAAAGGAGCGGGATTACAGGCTGAGCCACCGAGCATGGCTGAGACACCCATTTTTTAAAGCAACTGTGGTGTGATCTAGGCTACTGTGATGTTTCTATTTCCATACTATATAAGAATGTCCATTGGTTAGATGATAAAGATCATACTGCAATACTGCCAACAAGTTAGTAAAAGGAACATTTAACACGAACTTATTAATAACTTCAGGATGTTTCTAGGAAGAGTTCAATATAAACAACTGAACTGCCCTCTTTTATCACAGATGAAAAAAGATAATCTATATTTACTATTTTAGAGATTATAGATCCAGATGCAAAAGAGCATACAATTTTAAAGCCAAAACAATTTGAAACCCTATATAGTCCTTTTTCTCTCCCTTTCTTCTTAAAAACATAGAAATTGTGGTCCAGAGTTAACCTGCTGATGTCACAGAGATGGTGATACATTAGAAGTTAGTTTTCTTAAACTCTTACTTTTGCTGAAATCAGCCTAAATTAAAAAATGGTTCTATTATAGCACACTTTGAATTCCTAGGACGCTATCTCCCATGGTTTACATTGTCTGAATCGCTAGTTTGTAGTGGTCATACCGGCATCACAATTATTATAAAATAACCTGAAACAAAATCAATACTACAACTTAAGGTGATTCATACTTGACATTTTTGATTACAGCAATATCAGGAAACAGATTACTTTACTCATTCTTTTCTGGCAGATAAAAACCTTTATTTTCCCCACCAAAATGACAATGCTCCTTACTTTGAAGGAATATGGAAAAGACATAAAAATATCACTTCAATATGTCTGAGTTATCTTTCCTATCTTTCCCCCAAAATATGTTTTTTTCTCTTCACATAGTTCTCTTCACATAGTTCCTTATCTGAATGAATGACCTACCAATTCATGTAAGCTGGCATATCCAAGTCCCATCAATTTCACTTCCATAGTACTTCTTTACTCCTTTCCCTGTCCTCATCTCTACCAGTAATAATTAACTGGACCCTGATTAGCTCCTTTAAGATGACCACGTTATCAATAGTCAACTTATTGGTATCCTTTACTCTTTCCCCACACTCTTAATATTTTTTTTTTTAAAAACTTTTTCTTCCAACTGCTTAAAAAAGCAGTTATCTTGTAGGCTGTGAAAGGCAATTAAATTTAAAAATTTTAGCCTGACTTACTAGGTCATTTACAACCTGGCCTACAGTTGTTAATCAGTCCTTTCCCCAGCTTCTTTCCTATCCTCCCAACTATAGCACACCTCTGATTCAAATTCTTTATTATTCCAAAGTATACGTTTCTTTCAGTGCTGGTGTCTGCATATGCTGCAGTCTCTCCCTGCAAACTGCTCTTACCATTGTTCCTTCTAGCAAACTCTTATATATCTTTCAGACCCTAATTGAGGTGTCACCTCTTTAAGCAGCTTTCTTATAATTCTGCTAAATTATGTTTGTTCCTTTGTCTTCTCACAGAACTTTACACAGTAGTAGCATTTGCCACACTTCAATTGTCTATTTGCACAGTAGTCTCTTGGTCCATGGGGGATTGTTTACAGGACGTGTAACAATCCCAAAATCCATGAATATGCAAGTCTCATATAAAATCATATAATATTTGCATATAACCTAGGCACATTCTCCCATAAACTTTAAATCATCTCTAGATTACTTGTAATACTGAATTCCAAGTACATGCTATGCAACTAATTGTTACATAGTAATTGTTTTTCAAATTTGTATTATTTTTTATTGTTGTATTGCTATTTTTAATTTTTTTCCCAAATATTTTTGATCCATGGTTGGCTGAATCCAAGGATATGGAACTCACAGATACAGAGAGCTGACTGCTGTGCTTAGACTGTAAAGAACTAATGGGAACATTTAAATCCCTGAGCACAGAACAAGTTGCTTGGTTACATCACTACCCTAAACTGCCTTCTACCAATCTCCCTATTGCTCACCATTCTCTAGCCATGTAAGTCTTCTTTCGAATTCGAGGACATATCAGTTGATGCTCTTTTCTATTTTAGTGATTTTGCACATAATCTTTCCTTTTTTACCCCCAATCTTTAAAAGTTAGCTTCTTTTCTTGCATTTATGCTTCTGCATAAAAATCATATCCTTGAATTTTTTCATAAACACTCTAAAGTAGACCCCTCTCTTATTCTTTATCTCTCTCTGGGTTCCTTGTTTGTTTCCTTCAATAATCATTCTTTTTTTGGGAGGGAAGATCTTCTCCTCCATTAAATTCAACAAGGACAAGAACTACTGTACTCCATGTACCTAGCAAAGTACCTGGCATGGGTGCTCAATAAACATTTGTAAACCATATCATTACTTCAAAATATTTTTTATTTCAATCACACAATTGGTATTTATCAAAGCATTTATAGTAAAATACAACAGACAGAAAGATGAACAAATAGTCAGAAGACCTGAGTTTGAATTCCAGCTCTGCAACTTCTCTTTACCATTGGAAACTTACTTCTGTTCGATCTGAACTCTTTTGCATTATTATTCCTACACTTACAAGGATATTGTGAAGATTAAATCAGAATATACATAATTATCAAAGTTCTTGGCACCTAGGCAATCAATATTTGTGGTTGAATTAACCATAAGATTGAAACCAAATGTTAACACTGAATTCAGGCACGAGATGAGAAAAACCTGAGCTAGGATATGAAAACAAAACAAAACAAAACCCCCCCAAAAAAGCATCACCAGGACGAAGTAAATCAAAGTGCTAGAGAAGAAATCATCACACTGCCCTATTTGTAAATGAGAAAATCCTACACATATTTTAACCCAAATGCACGAAGCTCTGATCTCATCTATGCTCCTGAAAGTAAATGGTGTTTTAGAGACTTTGTTCTCCTCCAATTACTACCCAGAAGGATGTAGTATTACACCTTTGATTCAGCCCACAGCAAAGCACCAATATTCAATTCTCTGGTCCATCAAATTTCATTCTATATTAATCTCAGCATCATTGTGAACCTTACTTTAGTAATCAGCCAAGGTTAGAAAGACCTTCATAAAATTTCAGATGTTTAGAGGTCCCAATATATACAGACAATAAAAGCCTGCCAGAGTGCTTATATAACTCTTTTTAAACGCATCCTAATAATCTTGCTTCAAAATTGATTTCTATAAGAGATCTAACAGATGAACAGAAAAGTTTTAGCTTAAGACATTGAAAGAATATAAAATTAGCTAAAGCAAATATTATATGTTATCAAAACGGAATATAAATAAAATGTTTCTCCAAGCAATCCTCAGCTCTATCACCATATTTTTCATGCTCTTATCTGAAAATCCTTGTAAGAGTCCATTAATCACAGTTAATAAGTAAGTAGCCAGGATACTCAGATGAGAAAGTTTAGGTACTTCCTGAATCAGAACTGCCTGGAAAGGCACCCAATCATCTTTAAAGGGTTGTAAGATACTTAGTTAAGATGAGAGACACCCAGTGGGAAACTCAAGTTCTTGTACTTTGTTGCCAGTAGGTACTCACATAATCCCTTCTAAACCAAGTGAACAAAGAAAACTATATGAGCAAATAAAGTTTCAAATGTGTCATCAAACACAGGTCTCAAAAGATATTTTATATTAAAAAGTAAACTGGTAACTGGTAAAAACTTCCCCCAATCGATGTTGCTTACTATTAATAAAATTCTGTTTGACAAACCTCTCTCTCTGTTGTCACGACGGTCTCTCTCGCCATGTCGTCTCTCAAAGGAAGAATCTCTTGCTTGGTCTCTGTTGTCTCTTTCAGGATATCTGTCTCTTTCAGGATAGCTACTTCGAGTTTCCCAGCTGTCATGATAGTTGCTATTACTACTGTGACTATCAATTTGAGAACCTCTTGAGCCTCGACTTCCTAAACAAAGGATGTTCATACAAACATTAAACACATATACTTTTTCAAAAAATTACATCAGTCACAATCTTCTTTAAAAAAAAACCAAAACTAACACATTATTTTTTAAAATTCCAAAGTGTGAAAATCACTGTTGAATATTAAGCACTGGAGCAGAACACTCAAGTTGTCCAATGACTGACTTGAATTGGCTAAATCTCAGTTTTTTCCATCTATGAAACAGTCAAACAATGAAATCTTAAAACAAATTTATTAAGATTGACCTGCCACTTTGCTGAGCATGGTGGCTCACACCTGAAACCTCAGTACTTTGAGAGGTCAAGGTAGCAGGATTGCTTGAGCCCTGGAGTTTGAAATGGGCCTGGGCAACATACTGAGCTCTCATCTCTACAAAATATCAAAAAATTAGTTGGGCATGGTGGCATGAACCTATAGTCCCAGCTACTTGAGAAACTAAGGCAGGAGGATCACCTAGGCCCAGGAGGTCGAGGCTACAGTGATCCGTGATCATGCCCCTGCACTCCAGACTGGGTGACAGAGATCCCGACTTAAAACAAAACAAACCAAACAAACAAACCCATAAAATCAACCTACCCTCAGAACATAAAAAACAAAAATGATTTCTTCACATCGAAATTCATAAATAAAAAATGAAAAATGAAAAAATATGGATAGCTATTATTGCTTTAAATATAGTTTACAGTGAAAACATAAATATAGTTAAATATAGTTTACAGTGAAAACATTCCAACATAGAACCAAGGTACTTTGGCAACATTAAGTGATATCAGATATCTGAAAACTTTCACTAACAGATGTAAGAAACAGATGTTCATAGTTGCTTTATTTCTAATAGCCAAAAATTAGAAAGTACCCGAATGTCTTTCAATGGGTGAATGGTTAAGCAAACTGTGGTACGTACATCCATACCATGGAATAGTATTTAGCAATAAAAACAAACTGTTGATACATGCAACAACTTAGATGAACTCCAAGAAAATTATGCTGAGTGAAAAAGTCAATCTCAACAGGATACATACAACAAGATGCCATTCATGAAACATTCATGAAGTAACATAAATACAGGATTGAGAGCACAAAAGAGGTTATCAGGAGTCAGGGGGCAGATAAGGCTATAAAGGGGTAACACAAGGGACTCTTAGGATGTTACAGAGATGTATCCTAACTGTGGAAATGGGCTACATACGTGATAAAACTGCATAAAGCTACACACCCCCACACTTCCAAGTACATGTATACCTGGTGAAATTTGAGTAAGATCTATGGACTGTACCAAATGTAGTTGCTTGGTTTTGATACTGTACTATAGGCCTGTAAGATATTTACATTTGGAAGCCAGGGGAAGGGTGTACAAAGCTTCCCATACATTTCTTTACAATTTCCTCTGAATTCCTAGTTACTTCAAAATAAAGACAAAATTTGAAACTTATTTTTGGTGGGGAGAGTGTTAGAAGTAGAGAAAGAAGCAGTACCGGGGCTGTAATTACCTAGGTATATCTAGCCAAAACCATAACAGTAACTCTGGAGGGGCCCAGCTCTCAATCTCATAGCATCACCACAGATAAATTCTGATGAAGGTGAACTCACTCCAAACCTAAAAGAACATATGAAAAACCAACCAACCCAAAGCTAGAATCAGAAAGCACTTCCCCAAGATTAAAACAAAAACAAAAAGAATATAAATGTAACGAGCTTTAGAACCCTGAATGAATTACAGCATGATTCTAAAAACTATAATAGGGGATTTTAATAATCAAAATATCTGTGAAGAATATTTTAATAATTAAAGACCAGGGAGAAAAAAATTAAAACATTAAAGACTACAAAAGGGCAACGTATATATAATCTAGGAATGACTAGGTTAAACATCAGATTAGACGCAGCTAAGAGAAAAGTCCCTAACTAGAAGATTAGACTGTGGATATGACCCACAAGGCAAAACAGAGAGAAAGAGATACAAAATTTGAAAAGAAAGTTAAAAATCAAGGAAGATACAATGAGGAAATTTAAGATATGACTAATAACTGTATGTTGTTTAGCATCGCATTTAAAACAAAAGGACACAGAAAGGTTAAAAGGGTGGGAAAAAAAATACCAAAAGAGAGCTGCCAGCAAAAACCGCTCAAGACAAAAACAGGTTGAGGATCCTTTATATGAAATGCTTGGGACCACAGGTGTTTGGAATGTTGGATTTTGGAATATTTGCATTACACTGGTTCAGCATCCCTAAACCAAAAATCCAAAATCCAAAATGTTCAAATGAGCATTTCCTTTTGAGCATCATGTTGGTTCTTAAAAAGTTTCAGTTTTAGAGCATTTCAGATTTTGGATTTTTGGATTAGGAATGCTAAACATGTGTCAGGAAAGAAGACAGTCATTCTATAATGATTAAAGGATTAAATAATTCACCTTATGTGTACCTACTAGCAAAGCCTCGAAAGAGTCAAATTGTAAAGATGATCAAACTACAAGAAGAAATAAACAAACCCATAAATTCCACAATGACAGTGGAAGATTTAACTTGCCTCCCTGTAATGATAGAACAAGCAGACTAAAAACTTAGATGTAGTTTTGGAAGTGCAGTTAATAAACTTGATTTTAGAGACTTAACCCTTGGCATCAAACCATTAAAAGTACAACTCTCTTGAAAGCATATGCAGAACACTTATAAAAATAGACTACTGAGCCACAAAACAAGATTAAACAAATATACCTACCAAAGAACTGACTTTGAACAAAGAATTCTCTGACAATTAATTGGGGAGAGGAGACTTACTTAAAAAAAAGCATGACTGGAACTCTAAAAATCCTCTTTCTATTTAACTTATGGGTCAAAGAAGAAGTCATTTTTAAAATTTATGAAGTACTCAGAAAGGGTACTAATATAAATACTACATAAGTCACAAAGAAGTAAAAGTTAATGAAATGGAACAAAAGCAATATAAATGAATACCATTATAGTCAAAGATTTGTTCTTTGAAAAGACTCAAAATAGAAAAAACTCTGACAAGATCGATAAAGGGGAAAATAAATAAGATATAACAGATATTTTTAAAAAGAAATTTAGGAACATCTTTTTAAACAAAAATTTGATAAATTTCCTCAAAAAAATATTGCTAGAACTGCTTCAAGAAGAAACAGAAAACCTACAGAAAGCTGTACCTATTACAAAAACTCATTTGGTAGTAAAAACTCTTAACCATCAGGCAAATGTAATAAAACTTTCAAAGAACAGATAAGCAATTGTATTTGAATTATTCCAGAGAACAGGAAAAAAAAAACAATAACACATTCTATATGGATAGTATAATTTTGATTCCCAGACCAAAGAAAGACAATATAAAAACATGAAAACTATGCTGTGGCATGCTAGAACTGTTCATACTGGTTTGCAAGAGCCAACTATGCATCTTGTCCCAAATCTACATCCAGTGACATGTCAGTAGCTCCAAATCTGCCATAGTAGGAGACATTTATATCACAGAAATTGACAAAAGCTAAAAATTTGGATGTTTTTCCTGAATAGTCCATTGTTAAACATTTACCACTGTACCAACTATTATATGCCAATCTCAATGAAAAACATAAAGGCTTAATGCAAGATTAAATTTTAATAACTCTGTTCTAGAATCTTAAAAAATTACAAAATTATATTTATCTCAGGGATAGTGCTTTTTCTTAAAAAGGATAGTTCTAAATTTAAAAACTATATTAACATATGTAACAAGGCAATAGAAACAAACTATATGATCTTCTCAAGACAGAGAAAAAAAGTAGTGATAAAAACAGCTAACTAAATTGAGAATATTAGGAGATTCTTTTAACACAAAAAAAAATCTGCAAAAAAAATCTACAAATACCACGCTTAATAGTGAATTGCTAGTAACAATTCTTTAAAATCTGAAACAAAGCAAAGGGGTCCTTTCTACTTACAGTCAACATTGCATTGATGAAGAAGCTAAGCAGGTTATCAATGAAAAATAATAATCAGAAAAGAAGAGCCAAATCAGTCTGTTTCCAGACATATTTGTTAAGAGAATCTAATTAGATCTACCAAGAAAAAATAGCAACATCATTTAAATGTAAGGTTAATATACAAATACCAATTACCAGTTCCATGTATCAGCAAACGTTAGAAAATGTAATTTTTAAGAGCTATCGGTTACTGACACATGCCCACAATTATTCACTAAAGCACAGTCTGAAAGATAAAAAGACTGAAAAACCTAAACATTCATCAATGCAGGACTTGTTAACTTATGGTATATACTATGATAGATAATATGTGCTAAAAGAAGTAACAGTTTACCACACTGAAAGGTATGGAATAATCTCCAAGATATCTTTATTAAGTAAAAACAGTAAGATATAGAACAGTATATAGTTTTTTCTTTCTTTCTTTCTTTTTTTTTTTTTTTAAGAGTCAGGGTCTTACTCTGTTGCTAAGGCTGGAGTGCAGCGGTATGATCACAGCTCACTGCAGCCTCAAATGCCTAACCTCAAGCGGTCGTCTCATCTCAGTCTTCCGAATAGTTGGGACTACTGGAACACCACTAAACCCACCTAATTTTTAGGTTTTTTTTTTTTTTTTTTTTTGTAGAAACAGGGTCTTAAGAGCTTTCCCAGACTGGTTTCAAACTCTTGGCCTTAAGTGAGCCTCCTGTCTCAGCCTTCCAAAATGTTGGTATTATAAGCATGAATCACTGTGCTTGGCCAGTCTTTTCTTTTTAATAAAAATGTTTTTTAAAAATTATTTTTGTAAAGCCAGAGGGGAAAACAAATGGACACACACACACACACACACACACACACACACACAAGTATATATATACATATATGCATTTTTGCTCATGTAAAATGTTTTTGGGAAGAATACATACAAAGCTGGCAAAAGAGCAGTCGGGGTAGAAGAGGGGCTTTTCACTATATAGCCTCTTACACTTTTGAAACTTTGAACCATGTAAATGCTCAATTGAAAAAATTTTTAACTTAAAAATGCTAAAGTACCATTTACAATGGCAACAAAAATGGAGGGTACCCAAGAATAAAATATGTATAAAACTTAATGGAAAAAATTATAAATCAATAAAGTCAATGGATTAAAAATTAAAATTCAACAGTTTTTTTCATGAAATTAAAAACTGTTTTCTAAAATTTATATGAAAAAGTAGAGGGTCAAGAAAAACAAAGACAACTTCAAAGCAGTTGAAGGACCTTCAACACATAAATGTGAAGCTATAATATTGACCAGGGATCGATCAACAGTCCAATAGAAAGAGTAAGAGTGATCAGAATACTGCAGCGGTGTTTGCGGGGAGGGGAAAAAAGGCATGGAGGAAAAGGGAGGTCAAAGCTAATCAAGTTCCAGCCGTTTGGAGATAATCCTAAACATATTTAAGTCATTTGGGTGATGACAAATGCTTTTAATGGGAAGAAAAGGAAAATATCTCAAGATACTGATATGTGACCAAATGAGAAGGTTTGAAGCAAGTACTAACAGTAAAGATAACACTAATCAGTCATTTCTGATATCAACAATTTTGAAAATATACTATTTTAATTCTATTTTACTTTAATAATCATTTTATCCTATGTATACCTATTTATTAGAAATTACTTCCTTGTGATTTTTTTTTTTTTTTTTTTTTTTGCCTGATAGCAATTTTCTTAGTGCTCCACATTAATCAAGATGGTAGGCATCACTGAACACAATTCAACCAGAAAGTCTGTCAGGCTCCATTTATCTCTTGCCACTTTAGTATTTCTCATGAGGAATATAAAGTATAGCAAAGTTCACAAATTCAATTAATTGAAGATTACTTTGATAAAATGATAATAATGAAATAAGAAATAACATACAAAAGAAATTCTAGAACACTTAATACTTGCTATATAAGCATGTAAAATACAGTTCACTGAAAAGTCAAAAACCTTACCCTTTTCAGGTAACTCAGGACCTCTCCCTCTACTTCTGCCCATTCGGTCATTTCTCATTTCACCTCGCGACTCATTTCTGGAATCATTCCTTATTTCAGTACGAGAACTTTCTTCTCGCAAATGGTTTCGGCCATAACTCCGAGACTCTTCTGGATATGTATCCTCCTTTCGATGAGCATCTCGACCTTCACGATCCCTGTAGTCATGGGCATCACGAGTGGACCGAGAATCTCGGGGATCACGGCTCTCTTTGGTGTCTCTACTATACTCCCTCATCTCCCTGGAGTCCCGAATGTCTCTGGAGTCTCTCAGTTCCCTTCGGTCTCTAGTATCTCTAGTATCTCTCCGATCCCGACCCTCCCGGGGTTCTCTGTCATCTCTGTGGTCCCTAGATGAACTTGGATCCTGATCATATTCTCGTTCTTCTCTTGTGTCCTTTTCTCTGTCCCGTTTGCCTCTAGTCTCTGCAAGGCAATTTTGAAAATCAACTGTAATTCCTTTTACAAAGTTTCAGGAATCTAGACGATATACTTAATACAGAACTTTAAAAATTTTTATTACACTGGCAATTCATGTTCTTTACAAAAAAAGAAAAAAGGAGAAAACAAGTAAATAAGAAAATTAAAACCATTTGTAAGCTAAAACCCCAAAGAAAATTTTATTAACAGTTGGTAACTATGTTCTTGATCAGGTAAACTTTGAACATGTACTTTTCCACTGACCCAACTTACCCATACTTATAGATCCTAAACAACTGAAACAAGTTGACTTCATATCACTGATGGCTTACTTTTTAGAAACCAATGTTAGATACAGAGACACCACAGTCAGTAACTTTAATCACTTCAACCAAGTATTAGGCTAGGCTAGATTAGACCATATGTGAACACTCAAATGAACTTAAGCACTTGAGAGTAGCCTACAGTTAGTAACCTGGCTGGTTAAGAGACACTGTTATTCATTCTCGTTTCCTCAGCGGTTTAATGATATCATACTCAAGTGTGCAACAGACATTAAAGCTTTCTCAACTTAAAGCATTTTTAAATGGGCATGGTGGTGGTACACAGGTACAGTCCCAGCTACTTGGGAGGCTAAGACAGGAGGATTGCTTGCACCCAGAAGTTTGAGTTCAGCCTGGGTTACATAATGAGATCTCGTCTCTTAAAATATAAAAGCTTTTTTGCCTTCTGGGCAAGATGGCGACGGAAAAGTTCAGACTGTGAGAGTCTGCAAAGTGGGTGTGTGTCAGTGGTAAGTAAAAGTTCGTCCGAGGGGAAACTAGGGTTCATGCACGCGGGCTCCCCTCTGGAGGTGACTGCAACCCACCACCGCCCTGAGATTGGAGACCCAGGTGTGTAGGAATGTCTGCTGTTCTTAGGGTTCTCTTGAGAGGAGGCAGCAGAGAACAGCTGCCCCTCACTACCTGGCACCCAGCCCACACCATCACCTGCAGCAGCAGACCAGGCACAAGCAGGAGGAATGGTGAAGAAGGCAGGTCGTGGAAATCTGGAATAAAGTTCCAATGCCGGTGATGAGATGCCGACAGGCACCATCTTCTTAGTCCGGGAGGAGCAGAGACCTGCATTGCCCTGCCCAGCTCCACTAGCCTCCATCTTGGGACGCAGAGGCTGATGCCCCACCCACATGCTGGAACAGGCACAGACAAGTCAGATCAGATCCATACTCCTCCTGCTGTAGTCCCTGGGGCATCTGACCCATGCTGAGAACAACCCTATCAGCCTGCACTGAGAGAGGAAGGAAGGGGCTGGGGCCCAGAGCTGCTCCCTAAGGCCAAGGCGGCAGCCTAAAGGAACATGGAGTTATAGAAACGGTCAAAGAGCCAGTTTTTTTTCTTCTCTTTCTGTTTTTGTTTACATTTTTGTACTTGCTTTGTTTCTGTTATGTATTTTTTTTTTTAAGATTTTCTGTTTGTGTATGGGTATTTTGAGGGAGAGTACACCAACAGGGGGGTTTTCGTTTGTTTGTATGTTTTTGTCTTTTTTGTTTTTTCTGTCTTTGTTTCTGTTTATTCATTAATTGGTATTACACCTGTCTGCTTTCTCCTCTCTTCCTCTTCTCTCTCCACCTTCCATTCATCTTCCTCCTTCCTTTTTCCATTCGTTTCCCTTTTCTTATCTCATTTTGTCTGTCATGGTAAACAGACATCCTCACTGCATGGACAAATTGTACGGTAGTGGGAAGTGGATTCCAGGGGGCCCACACACCTGTCAGAGGATAATGGGATCTGCAGAAAGCTTCTGAGTCACAGCTCCCCCTGTAGTTAAATCTCAAAACTGCAAAAACCACAGGTCCCCACCCCCAGTCCAACTTCAGAATTGAATAAAACCAGAGGATCTACATAAGGAAGACTAGGAGATTAAGCAAACAGAAATAAAAGCTATCCTCCCATCACAGAACAATGAAATTTTATAAAGAGGAAAAAAATGGGGGAGGAAAACCTTCACAAATGAAAAATATGAGTCTCACACAGACCCCTCGGAGGTTAGCCACTGAGAATACAGACTTTGGAACACAAACAAGGAAGAGTCCCTAAAATGAATGGTCTCAAATCACAAATCCAGATATCAAGATATTAATAAAGAGAAGAAATAGAAATGAGGAGAGACAAGAATGAAGGAGTTCATAACCGAGATAACAGCAATAAAGAATAGAGTGAATGAAATAAACAACAAACTGATAAGCATGGAAGGCAGAATTAACCAAGCAGAATAAAGAATTTCAGAGCTGAGAACCAAAATATGGAACAAGCCCAAACTGTTAAAAACACAGAAAAGAAACTTATTTCCAAGAGATGAGTGATTATTTCAAGAGGCTGGCCCTAAGATTAATTGGAATCTCTGAGACAGATGGAGAAACAGAGATCACCCTGGAACAAACATTTCATGAAATTTTCCAAGAAAACTTCCCTCATCAATGACATAACCATGCAAACATAAGAGATTCAGAGAACCCTTGCAAGACAACAAATGAGAAGACCAACTCCCAGACACATAGTAATTTGCCTACATAAAGTAGGTATAAAAGAAAAAATCTTAAAGGCAGCAAGAGAGAAAGGTCAGACTACCTATCAGGGAAGACCAATTAGAAAAGCACCAGACTTATCTATAGAAACACTTCAGGCTAGGAGAGCTTCAAGCCCAATCTTTAAAGTTCTCAAAGATAAACAATTTCAACCAAGAATTACCTACCCAGCTAAGTAAGCTAAGTTTTATCAGTGATGGAGAATTAAAATCCTTCCCTGACATTCAATCCCTAAGAGTTTATGCTGCCTCCAGACCAGCTCTACAAGGATCATTTAAGAGAGTATTAAACACAAAAGAAAGGAAAAAAAAAGAACAACGCCCTTACCAAGAATGCAGGAAAAAGACAAAAAAAGAAAACACACATGAATCAACCCAAAATCAAGAGAAAGACAACAAACAAATAAACAAACAACAGCAACAACAGCAAACTCTATGGGAACTTCATGACAGGGATAAATTCTCACATCTCAATAATAAGCCTGAATTTGTGAATGGACTAAATACACCACTGAAAAGACATAGAATGGCAAATTGGATAAAATATCATGAGGCAACAATATATTGTCTCCAAGAGACTCATCTCACTAGAAAAGATACTCACAGACTCAAAGAGGATGGGAAACAAAATTTCAGGTAAATGGAACACAAAAGAAAGCAGGAGTTGCGATTTCAGTATCAGACAAAATCCCCATGAAGCTATCAAAAATTAAAAAAGATAGTGAAGGTCACTACATAATGATAAAGGGTTCAATCCATCAACAAGAAATATCCATCCTAAACATATATATGCACCCAACATCGGAGTACCAACTTTCATAAAGCAGCTAGTAGGTAAACTAAAAAAAGATGCTGACATTATCACTATCATAGCCAAGGACTTAAAAATCCCACTAACAACCCCAGATAGATCATCAAGACAAAAAGACAACAAGGAGATCCAGACCAGTAATGTAACGCTTAACCAAATGGACTTAACTTATACCCACAGAACACTCCACCCAACACAGAATGTACATCCTACTCATTACCACGTAGACCTTATTCTAAGATTGACCACATCCTCGGCCGTAAATCAAACATAAACAAATTCCATAAGATTGAAATTCTGCCATGTACCTTCTCAGACCACAGTGGAATAAAAATAAATAACAACAGCAAAGTTCCCCCAAAGCCCACAAATACATGAACACTGAACAGCATGATGCTAAACAACTCCTGGGTCAACACAGAAATCAAAACAGAGATTAAAAGATACCTGGAAACAAAAGAAAATGAAGAAACACCTTACCAAAATACTGAGATGCCAAGAAAGCAGTCCTAAGAAGGGAATTCATATTTCTGTGAACACACATGAAGAAAATGGAAAGATCACAAGTTAACAGCCTAAAAAATCACCTAAGGAAGCTGGAAAAGCAAGACCACAAAAACCCTAACTTCAGGAGAAGAACCCAGATCACCAAAATAAAAGCCCAAATGGGACAAAGAAGACAAAAATGTAAAAAAAAAGAAAAAAAGAAAAAATCAATGAAACCAAAAGTTGGTTTTTGGAAGGGATAAACAAAATTGATGGACCCCCTAGTTAGATTAACCAATAAAAAGAGAGAAAAAGCTCGAATAAACACAATGAGAAATGCAAAAGATCAAGTCACAATTGACCCCAAAGAAATACAGAAAATTAACAGAGATAACTAAGTACATCTATATGGAAACAAACTCGAAAACTTAAATGCAGGACTTTCTGACATCACACAACCTCCTGAGGATGAAACAAGAAGAAATAAAGACCCTAAATAGACCAATAACAACCCAGAAAATCAACTATGTCATAAAAACTACCAAAAAAAAAAGCCCTGGACCAGATGACTTTCCAGCAAAATTCTACAAGACACAGGTGGAGTTGATACCAAGCCTATTGAAAGTATTACAGGCAATCAAGAAAACAGAATTCTCCCCAAATCATTTTATAAAGCTAACATCACATTGATAGCCAAATCAGGTAAAGATCCAACAAAGAAAGAGAACTACAGGCCAATATCCTTGATGAACACAGATGTTAAAATTCTCAACAAGATTCTAGCACACCAGATCCAACAACATATCTCAACAATCATCAACCATGACCAAGTAGGCTTCATCCCTGGGATGCAGGGCTGGTTCTATATCCACAAGAGCATAAATGTAATTAAATACATAAATAGATGTGAAGACAGAAACCACTTGATTATATCATCAGATGCAGAAAAAGATTTGATAAAATTCAGCACCCGTTATTGATAAAAACCCACGAGCATCTAGGGTTAGATGAACACACTTCAAAATATTAAGAGCCATCTATGAGAAACCCACAGCCAACATACTGCTAAACAGACAGAAATTGGAACAATTTCCCCTGAAAACCAGAACAAGACAAGGATACCCACTTTCACCCCTCCTGTTCAATGTAGTATTGGAAGTCCTAGCTAGAGAAATCAGACAAGAGAAGCAAATCAGGGGTATCCAAATAGGAAAAGAGGACGTTAAGGTGCCCTCTTTGCAGATGACATGATTCTTTATCTCGAAAACCTAAGAAAATCTGTCAAAAACCTCCTTCCACTGATAAAGGACTTCGGCAAAGCCTCAGGGTATAAAATAAATGTGCAAGTAGTTGCATTCCTATACACCAACAATAAACAAACAGAAACCCAAGTGAAAAGCACAATCAATCGCCACACAAAAAAATGAAATACCTTGGAATCCTCTTATCCAGAGAAGTCAAAGACCTTTATAACAAAAACAACAAAACACTGCTCAAAGAAATCAAAGATAACACAAATGAATGGAAAAATATTCCAGGCTTGTGGATTAGAAAAATCAACACTGATAAAATGTCCATCCTACCCAAGGCAATCTACAGATTTAATGCAATACCCATCAAATTACCAGCAGCATTCTTCTCAGACCTGTAAATGACAATACAGGAATTCATATGAAACATAAACGACCACAAATAGCCAAAACAATCCTCAACAAAAACAAACAAACAAAAAAACAATCAAATACCTAAATGTAAAACCTTAAATTGTAAGAACCTTAGAAAATACAGGAAACGCCGGCTCGGTGGCTCAGCCTGTAATCCTGCGCCTTGGGAGGCTGAGGTGAGTGGATTGCCTGAGCCCGTGGGTTCGAGACCCGCCTGGGCAGGTGAGACCTCATCTCTACAATAAAATCAAAAAATTAGCCGGGCGTGGTAGCGCGCGCCTGTAATTCTGGCTACTCGGAAGGCTGAAGCGGAAGGATCGCCGGAGCCCAGCAGGTCGAGGCTGCAGTGGCCGGGAGTGGCCACTGCACTCCAGTCTGGGCGACAGAGTGAGACTCCAATTCAAATAAAAAAAAAAAAAGAAAATGCAGGAAACACCCTAATGGAAATTGGAACTGGCAACCAATTCCTGATCAAAACCCCAAGTGCCCATGCCATAAGAGATAAGATAGATAAGTGGGACCTCATCAAACTGACAGGCTTCTGCAAAGCCAAAGAAACCATCAAGAGAGTGGGGAGACAGCCCACAGGCTGGGAAAAAATATTTGCCAACTGTATATCTGCCAAAGGCCTAACATCTAGGATCTACAAGGAACTCAAACATGCCGAAAAGAAAAAAACAAACAGCCCCATTACAAAGTGGGCAAAAGATATAAACAGACACATCTCAGAAGAAGACACACTAGCAGTCATCCGATACATGAAAAAATGCTCAGCCTCACTAGTCATCAAAGAAATGCAAATTAAAACCACACTGAGATGCCACCAGACTCCAGTCAAGAAGGTCATCATCAGTAATTCAGAAAACAACAGATGTTGGAGAGGATGTGGCAAAAAGGGAACACTTCTACACTGTTGGTGGGGGTGTAAACTAGTACAACCTCTGTGGATAAAGTGTGGTGATTCCTAAAAGACCTAAAAATCGACCTCCCATATAACCCCGCAAATCCCTACTGGGAATATACCCAGAGGAACTCAAATCACTCTTTGAAAGATACCTGCACACGCATGTTTATTGAAGCATTATTTACAATAGCAAAAACATGGAACCAACCATGCTGCTCATCGAAAGAGGACTGGATTAAAAAAAATGTGGTACACATACACGATGGAATAATATGCAGTCAAAAGAAGGCCAAAATTATGAACTTTACAACAACTTGGATGGACTTAGAGGCTATAATACTGAGTGATCTATCACAGAAACAAAGAACTGAGTATCACATGTTCTCACTCATAAGCAGACCTTGAACAACTATTGTAATATGAAAGGGATTGGCAGTAGTGGGAAGGGAAACTGCCAGGGGTGAGCAGGGGTAGGACTGGCAGTAATGCGAAACTACCAGGGAAAGGGGAGGCACACCTCATCAACAAGGGTACCTGCACAATGTACATTTGTATACTAGACCCTGAAGTGTACCCCACATATTTAAAGTAAAAAATTTAAAATAAAAAAAAGTATTTTCTAACTTATCATAGAAAAATAAATAATCTCATTTTTTAAAAGCTGGAATGAACCACTTTGATTATCTAAGCCAACCCTGTCATTTTATATATAAATAGAGGCCCAAAGCTTAGGTGGCTTAGTTAACTCCAAGTCTCTTGGGAATTTACGAAGATAACAAACTACTCTTTAGATATGCCTACAAAAGGTTTAAATGGGTTATAACACAAATCTGATATAAAGCTAAAGAACTAACATGAGAACCTCAAATAATAAACCTTGTTCTTTTTATCAGATTCCCCTGCAAATCACTCTTACACTTAGAATTTCCCCAATCTGAGGCTGTTTTAGCAACTATAGCAGCCTTATGCCCAAAACACCATAAATTTACCTCATTTTCTCTTTGTCCCCAGTGGCTAGGCCCATAGACTTTTTCTTTTTTTTTTTTTTTTTCTTTTTTTTGAGTTGGAGTCTCACTCCATCACCCAGGCTGGAGTGCAGTGGCACACTCACGGCTACCCCAGCGTTGACCTGCTGGGCTCTGGCGATCCTTCTGTCTCGGTCTTCCAAGTAGCCGGAACTATGGGCGGGTGCTACTACGCCCAGCTAGTTTTTGATATACTGTAGAGACAAGGTCTCATCAAGTTGTTTCACAAATACTGTCGAGCCTGGTTCCAAAAGCATATATACAAAAAAACAATTCCATAAAATAGGTGCTTTCTCTACTCCCTACATATGCATACACCATTTTCTCAAATAAAATAACTTAATTATTGCTTGCAATGTTGATAGGAAGAGTAATTATAAGTTCAACATGTTTCACAGGAGACTGCTGCAATATACTCACAGAGAGGTGTTCAAAATGCACATTAAACAGAAATGTTGTTGCAAGTAAGCAAGTATTTCCTGAGTACTCACTATGTTAAAAACTAACTTAGAAGAAGTTAGGAAAAAACTTGTCAGGTAAAATCAACAAGCACAAGAAGCTTAGACAAACAGTACCAAAGGAGGTAAGAGCAATTAGGCTTTATTGCCAGGTAACAATAGCATCTTAGCTTGAACAGGGAGTAGTAAATTCAAAGTTAACTTAATTCTAGGTATCTGAAGTGGAAAATTAAAATTTGCTTACTTTATTGAGTAAGACCTAGAAATCTGACTTTCTGAAAGTTTCCACCAGCCTTCACCCCTTCATTAAAATACTTCTGATGCTTTTAACTATGCTCCCTAATTTGTTGCTTTTCTTCCCTTCAGCTTCTTGTTTTTTACAAAGGCATTAACTAAACATTGAAAGGGATGCTCTAAGAATCAAATGGCCAATAACTTCTAGAACTTGAGTGTACTGTACTCAAACAATTAAAGAAAGCACCAATTGAGCATACCTGTAAACATCCACTTGTGTTTACTTAATAGCTTACATTCCTGTGTTGTTTTTCCTATTGCCTTCAAGAGTTCTAGTCTGTGTTACAGAAGACTTAATATAGCCCCGGCATCCTCCATCTCTTATTATAACAATTTTTAATTTAAAAAATCTAATCAAATCTAAGAACTCTTAAAAAAAAATTCGAGCTAAAGTACAGTGCATACCTTCTCTCCTTTCATGACGCCGATCATGAGACTGTGAAGTTCGTTCATGTTCATGTCTCCCTTTCTCTCGCATTGGAGAGCGATGCCTTGGAGGACTTTGCTTTCTCTGAGGAGAAGACAAAGAATGGGAAGGATAAGGAGAAGCAGAGCGGCGTAAAGGTGGAGTTAGTGTCCGCTGATAAGATGGTGAAGGAGTTCTTTTTCGTCGAGGGGAAGGAGAATGTCTTTGAATAGACGATCCAGATTGTGAGGAAGATGAGTGATGTCTAGAAGATATAGGAGAATGATGCTGTCCTGCTGGGGAAGTAGACCTACAAGGGAAAACGGTAACAATAAAAAATGTGTTCGAGAACTTCATTTCCAGCAGAAGGAAAATCTTAACAACAAAAACTGAGTGTAAAAGTTAAAGCTAAAAGTGTAGATAATAATTCCAGGATACATTTTAATTAATAATGCTGCAAAATTACAAATAAGTTGCTTTTAAAAGATGTGACACGTTTTTTTTTAAGTCAACTGGAAACAACAGCTCTAGAAGAGATATGCAGTGTCTTTCTTCTAAGCTCTGGTGCCAAGATACACTGCCTATTCCAGCCCTTTTCATTCAGAAACATCTTGAAAGTCACCTATAAGCAACCTGACTGCAATTTTTACAAAATCAAATAGTGAAAAATGAATCAATTCATATTAAATAGCATAGCGCTGGAAACAATTATTTTATTATAATAATATTTGGCTTATAATGGAATTTTGGACATTGAGGAACTTATTTATGACAAAAAAATCAAAATGTTGTATATTTTTCTAACATGTGGTAACATGTGAACAGTCACCAACATTCATTGCAGGTTCATTGATGTATGTTGTGCAATAGTAATTTGTTTGACTTTTTCCACCTGGTGTTTTTCTATTCAAGCAGACAATGCAGTCTCATTTTCTTCCTCCTATGTTAATAATATGTAATTTATTGTTAAGTCTGTGCACCACTGTGAAAGCATGTCACATCTTCTCTTTCTGCCTAACTCCAGCTGATTTTTTTAAACATGTATCTTGGGCAACCCTTTTGAATCCCTTCCCACTGTGGGGCTTTTCTGTCCTCTCAATAAATCCTGCTTTCTAAACCAAACCAAACAAAACAAAACATATATCTCAGAGTATATTCCATCTCTTTATTTGCTTTTTTATGCAGTTTGAATGGAAAACTTCAGGAAAACATATTTTTGAAAATTTTGGGATGGGATCTAAGTCTGTCCTGTATAATCACCAGCAATCCGTTATGTCCCCTGAGGCAACATCCAAGTGGTTTGCTAGATTTATGATGTCCCCTCAGGGGGGACACTCGGGTACAAATAATTAAGCAACAACCTCCCATCTGCCTAGACCATCTACCCTAACTTAAAGAACGGATTCACCCTGATAATCTCTGACAGTGTAGACAAATACTTGAGGGGGTCAGCTCACAAACAGTTATAGAAAAAACATACTAACATATTACTGAGATCTAGATAGAAAGTGGCTGTGAGAATTCCTTTAAATTCAAGGCTGTGGGAAAAGGGGAGCTAGCATCAGCTAGGGCAAATAAAAAGCCTGTGCTGCCTGGGTTGACAGTAAAAGAATCCTAGGGTTAAGGAAAGGACAGCAAAGTATATGCAGTCTTTAACTTAAATAATCTGCCTTCACTTGTGGACAGCACAAACTGAGATTTAGTTCATAACTCTTAATTTAACTAAAGCCTCCTCTATTCTTCAAATCATCAATAACTTATGACCTCCTGAAGTACATCTGAATAACTCCTAGAGTCTGTTATGCCTGGGCTGTGTCCACACTGAATACATATTGTGTGTGTGTGTGTGTGCGCGCGCGCAAGTAAGTATCATATTTCTCAAAGCAATCATTTCAAGGAGTGGAAGCTTATTCAGAAAAATTCTGATGCTCTCAAAGTATTTTTTGAATTACCTTCAGTGTTTAAGATAAATATGATTTCAGAGTTGTGATAGTGGTAAAAATCACTATTAATTCTAAACCAGGGTTTCGCAACCTTGAAACGACTGATATTTAGTACTGAATAACTCTTTGAGTGGGAAAAGATGTTTCCTCTACATTATAGGATGTTCAGCAGCATCCCTGGCCTCTACCTACTAAATGCCAGTAGCATCCCTCCCACCCTGAGCTGTGACAATAAAAAATTACTCCAGATATTGCCAATTGTCCCCTGGGAGGTAAAAATCACCACTGGTTGAAAACTACTGTCTTAAACTATGTTGCTTATAAATAATGTCTTAGTAGAAATTTTATCAATAAATAGCTTAAAAACCTATAAACTATGTTATTAAGTCATGAAAGTATTCAATGTTTTAGAAAGAATTTGCATAACAAGAATGTAGGCAAATAAAATATATTTTGGATAACAGTTTACTAAAAAATAAAAGTTAGCTAACTGGAACTCTATATTCAAATAAACATTTAGTTTTCTGTGACTCCATTAAAGTTTTATACTTTTAATAAAAACTGTGATTCCTTTCTCATAATAAAAAACTATAAACTACTATAATTGAATCGACTCTAAATAGAAATCTATTTACATACAGATATGAGTAGAAATGTCCAACGGGTGTTATCCAATTTTGGAAACCCTTTTACAACCAATGACCATGCAAATGCATCCCTACTGAACAGAAAAATCATTGCAAGAGAGTCAGCATCAGTATTGTTTAGTGCTTTTCAATTTCAGTTTTATCAGGTTCTAGTCAATTTGGAAACATCTCAAATAATAAAATAAAGAATGACTCTCCACCAAACTGACATTTTGGTTAGTTTTGATTTTATGTCTACAATACCTTTGAGTGATTAGCCCATAAAACTTAAAAAAAAAAAAAACCAATAAGTTTATGTATACTATCTTTAAAAAAAAAACATGGCTCAATCAGGTTTCTAGTCAAACTTGGTGTACATATCATGGAGAAAAAAATTTCAGTTCAAGATGAGGATACCCAAACTGTCATATTAAGGCCAGAATGTATTGTCAAGCAATGGCTTCAACTTTCTAACCATATTTTCTTCTTACTTATCCTTCACCTATATCTATTCTGCATATTAAAGGGTGTGATGTAATAAAACTGTCTTAAAATCTGATCAAAATTATTAGTACTTTGGCTATAGACCATAATGGAGATAAAGTAAAGTATATTTCCACTTAGAATAGCAGTAACTTTAGATTATTTAGTCTTATGCTCTAGAATTGGCTGGTTTCTTATCTGAGAGAAAAAATAGGTGACATTTGAAATTCAAATAAAGAATAAAGGAAAGTTTATCTAATGATAAGAGGAAATCTGTATCATTAAAAGCACTATGATTTATAGCATATAGGGAATGCTGATCTTTAGCTGAACTGGATTCCAATAAAAAACTTTTAAATGCTGCTAAAATAAGGGCATGATAATATTCAGGGTATATTTTATTTGGGGAAAAAATGTGAAAAGTTAAAAAATTTAAAAAGAAAAACTCATCTTATCCAAGGTGCAAGAAATTTCAACTGCAAACCAGTTATGTTCTATTATTTTACATAGAAAATCTATCCCTATTAAAATAACAAGTCAGCCAGGCTCGGTGGCTCAGCCTGTAATCCCGCGCCTTTGGGAGGCTGAGGTGAGTGGATTGCCTGAGCCCACGGGTTCGAGACCCGCCTGGGCAGGCAAGACCTCATCTCTACAATAAATCAAAAAATCAGCTGGGCGTGGTAGCACATGCCTGTAATTCCGGCTACTTGGAAGGCTGAGGTGGAAGGATCGCCGGAGCCCAGCAGGCGAGGCTGCGGTGGCCGGGAGCGGCCACTGCCCTCCACGGGCAACAGAGTGAGACTCCAACTCAAAAATAAATAAATAAATAAATAAATAACAAGTCATTTTAATTTACTCATCAAATATTAAATGATAACATACTATGCTCCAAGTATTATTTTTCTCAGAGGATACAAACGTAAAGACCACAGATAAACATTACTAACATCACCATCATAATAACAGCAGTTAACACATGTATTGCTACTATGTGCATGACACTTTTAAATGCTTTCATTTTTCTCATTTCATCTTTTTGATAACAATATTATGAGGCAACTGAGTATGACAGTTAATTTTATATGTAAACTTGACTGGGCCACGAGTTGCCCAGATATCTGGGTAGGCATTATTTCTGAGTGTGTTTGTGATGGTTTTCTGGAAGATATTAGCATCTGAACTGGTGAAGTGAGTGAAGCGGATGACTCTCCCCTATGTGTATCATCCAATTCATTGAGGGCCTAAATAGAATAAAAAGTTAGAGGAAAGCTGAATTCTCTTTGCCTGACTGCTTGAGTTGGACATCTATCTGCCCGTGACACTCCTGGTTCTCAGGGCTTCACACCCAGACTGGAATCTATACCATCAGCTCTCTAGTTCTCAAGCCATCAAATTACACCACAAGTTGTTCTGGGTCTCCAGCTTGTGGAAGTTTATAGCTTCCACAATTGTATGAGACAATTCCTTAAATAAATTTCATTCTAGATATCTCTTCTGTTGGCTCTGTTTTTCTGGAAAACACTGACTCATATACCGAGGCAGAGAGGACTGAAAATCAGTGTATCTAGCAACAGAGTCTATGATCTAGGGAGCAAGCCAACAATAACAAAGCAAGGTAATTTCAGCCAATTAAAGCAACAACATTTATTTTAAAAAGGAGTGGTAACAAAATAGAAACCGTTAGGGCCAAAAGAAGTACATCAGGGCAACTTCAGGTTGCTTGTTAGGAAAAGATCTTTGATGAGGAAATGATATTTGAGCCAAGTGCTGAAGATCTGAAGGAAGAGCACAAAGGAGGAAGGAGAAATCGTGATATGTAAGAACAGAAAAATGACAAGTGGAGCCAAAATTTATGAGAGAACAGTCTTATGAGAAAGAGTCAGAGAGTAAACAAAGCCAGATATGAACGATAGGTCATGGTAAAAATCTGGATTTTACTCTAAACATAAGAGAAAGCCCTGGCAAGTGCTAGGCAGGTGTCATTTAAAATATAAGAAGGTCTTACTTGCCTAAATAGAACTGCAAGATGGAGAAAGAAATGCTTCTGTGTGATGATTTGTTTTAGATCTAGTAGCTAGTTGTCCCTTTGCAGCAGGAGTAAACACTCCCTGAAAAGGGAACCATTTCCAGCTGAACAATCTATAGAACTAGGAAGATACTTTTGTCTGTAAGCATCTTTTGAAAGATTTCTGTTCCATAAATATATTATGGTATCTGCAAAATAGATTTTATTTTATTTTTTTTAAAAAAAACCCATATAAACTCTAGACAAAACAAGTGAATCTAAATACTAATAATTCTGGTCAGATTTCATTTTTGTATGTAGGTAGAAATGAAGCACAGTCGACCCTTGAACAACACGAGTTTGAATTGCGTGGTCCACTCAGGTGTGAGTTTTCTTCCACCTCTGCCACCCTGAGACAACAAGAATAATCCTTTCTCTTCCTCCTCTGCCCACCAGTGTGACGATCGACCTTTGTTATACACTTCCACTAAAGGAATAATAAATATATTTTCTCTTTCTTGTTTTTAAAAAAATTTTCCCTTGATTTTCTTAATAACATTTTCTTTTCTATAGCTTACTTTATTATGTTAATCAACTGTTTATGTCAGTAAGGCCTCCAATTAACAGCAGGTTATTAGTAGTTAAGCTCTAGGGGAATTAAAACATATGCACAGATTTTCAACTGTGCAGGGATTTGGTGCCCCTAACCCCTTGTTGTTCAAGAGTCAACTGCAATTTCAAGCTTCAATTTAAGAATAAAGTATGTTAAGAAACCCTTTTAATTAACAGATCCTTTAATATCATTCAAACTCAGAATAATTTAACAATATAACTTTTACAAAATCTGTTTCAAGATAAGAATCTTATATAACTTGTTCAATTATATGATTTGACAAATAAAAATTGCTACCGACCAAGGTGATCAAGGGTCAGGAAAAAACAAATAAATAGCTGACATCCCTGACACACAAGTAGATTGTTTTTAAGCTGCAGGAGCAACAGAATCAGTATTCTAAATACAGTAAAACCCAGCAACAACACACACTGGCATAGGACAACTCCTATTCTCTGCCTGGTGGAACAAGTTAAAGTTATTACTTTCTGCCGGGAATACGACAAGGTAGTAAGGATATGAAACAGAGGACTAGGCCAGGACCAAAAAAAAAAAAAGAGAGAGAGAGAGAGAGAGAGAAGCAGGCAATCTAGTTTTGGAGAAGGAGATAAAGAAAGGTTCCCAAGTCGCCACATTTCCCAGACACTGTACTTTCCCAGATCAGGGATATTTTAAAAAATCCCTGCCAATGGCCTGGAAGTCCCATTGTTGCAGGACCCAGAATTCTTCCCATGGTAATTTAACTGTCAGTAAAAAAAATTATGCCACCAGATGGCACCAAATCACAGCCAGACTGGGATGGATTCTGACAGTGCAGCTGGGGGCTATTTCACTAATCTCACTATAACACAGCCCTGTATTTTTCCTGAATTGAATTTTTGGTCCATGTTATGCATTTCTGACTTCCCAACCACTGCCTGCTACTGAAAATCCGTCTGAAAATAATTGAGAACAGCCCTCAACTTTCCAGTTTCACAAAACATGTCAGTCAGACAAAAGCTGAAATACAATTTTAAGGTCATAAATCCTTTCTAGGTTTTGAATACAAGAGTTTCCTTCCTGAACTCAACAAATTTTCCCAACATCATACCTACAAAAAAAAGAACCCAAGCCTTGGTCAATTTGACGAAATGTGAAAGGCTTATTTTTCTTTTGTTGTGATGATTTCATTTTTTTTTTTTTTTTTTTTTTTTTTGAGTTGGAGTCTCACTCAGTCGCCCAGACTGGAGTGCAGTGGCCGCTTCCGGCCACTGCAGCCTCGACCTGCTGGGCTCCGGCGATCCTTCCGCCTCAGCCTTCCGAGTAGCCGGAATTACAGGCGCGCGCTACCACGCTCGGCTGATTTTTTGATTTATTGTAGAGATGAGGTCTCGCTGCCCAGGCGGGTCTCGAACCCGCGGGCTCAGGCAATCCGCTCACCTCAGCCTCCCAAAGGCGTGGGATTACAGGCTGAGCCACCGAGCCCGGCTGATGATTTCATTTTTAACACAAGTCTATCATAAGTTAAGTATGTATATAATTATGTTTGTCTATATTACAAATCTCTTTAAGTGCCTTAATTTTATATTCTTGGCCTAAATTAGCATGCACATGAAGACACTTTTTACGTCTATAGACTGGGCTCAGTTAAATGCAGAAGACAATGCCTCAGATAAGCAATTTCCAGCCTGAGTACAGAGTCTGTTTTAATATTAAAATACTTGCATATCTCTTTACATTATTTGTGCTAATATACACTGGTTGGAAATATGTTATAAAAGACACTAAAAATCCAGTGATACTTTCAAAGCATGTACTTAAAAATTATCCATCTTTGTTCCTTTTAAGTGTGATACTGGTATAAAGATTATATATTTTTATGTGTCTTTATTTTTAGAGACATATACTAAAATATAGATGGCTGAAATGATATGTCTGAGATTTGCTTTACAATAATACTGGGGGAGCCGGGCTCGGTGGCTCAGCCTGTAATCCCGCGCTTTGGGAGGCTGAGGTGAGTGGATTGCCTGAGCCCGTGGGTTCGAGACCCGCCTGGGCAGCGAGACCTCATCTCTACAATAAATAAAAAAAATCTGCCGGGCGTGGTAGCGCATGCCTGTAATTCCGGCTACTCGGAAGGCTGAGGCGGAAGGATCGACGGAGCCCAGTAGGCGAGGCTGCGGTGGCCGGGAGCAGCCACTGCACTCCAGTCTGGGCAACCAAGTGAGACTCCAACTCAAAATAATAATAATAATAATAATAATACTGGGGGAATGAGAAGGATAAGGGTATACGATATGAAACAAGAGAGACCATAAATTCATAATTTCTGAAGTTGGATACTGGATATACAAAAATTATATTGCATATTTCTATGTATATATGAAATGTTCCATAAAAATAATGTTGCTGTAATGTTTTTCTATCTTCTACATACAACTGAGCAACATTAGTATACATTTATTCAAGGAAATATTTACTCAGTCTATAGAAAATGGCTGATGCATAAATGGATTCACAGATCTCTTGAAATAGATGTCTACACCACCTATGGGTGGGATATGTCACAGGAAGAGGTTCACCAGTCCAGACCACGGTATGTGAACCCAAATGGCATACAGTAAACAATCCAAAGAATGATTCTTTGCCAAAAGTATAAAACATTCTGCCTTTAATTTGATAAATGTGTACAAACTCTGAAAGGAAGTAGATTGTCAATTTTTCAGTAACTTGTTTATTTTACTTAGTTGAAGTCAAAGGCAACAATGTTGAAGGATCATATCTCTTTCAAATCAGTATAAGGTTCATATAGGTATCTGTACTACTGTCAGGAAATAATCAAACTTCCACATTCGGGTAATTGTATTGGAATGATTTTCTAAAAATTAGCTATGCTCTGAATACTATTTTCTCATCCAACTACAAAGTCCTACAATCTGGCACTTTTGATTAAATAATGAGTGTTTCTAGAAGGCTACGGCATTCTCCTCCTCACCAAAACACACACACAGGCAAAATTTTACACACAAATTGAGAAGTTTGTAGACTCATAATATCCACCAATGGACTTTGAGTTAGAAGCACCTGATATAGAAGGTTGAATAAGTGAGACACAGAGAACAGGTAGAAGGACTTAAAGTATCAAAACAAAACACAAAACAAAACAGTCCCCCCCCCCAAAAAAAAACAAGTGTTGGCAAAGATGTGGAAAAACTGGAAAACTTGTGCACTGATGGTGGGAATGTACAATGGCATAACTGCTATGGAAAGCAATATGAAGAGTCCTCAAAAAATGAAAAACAGAAGTATCACATTATTCAGCAATTCTACTTCTGGGTATGTATCCAAAAAAAAACTGAAAGAAGAGTCTCGAAGAGATAGTTACACACCCATGCTCATAGTCCCACTATTCACAATAGTCAGGAGGTGAAAGAACCCAAATGTCTATCAATGAATGAGTGGCTAAATAAAATAAAGTATATGCATACAAGGCAATATTATTCCATCTTATAAAGGAAGAAAATTCTGTCACATGCCACAACATGGAAGAACCCTGAGGACATTATGCAAAGTAAAGCAAGCCTGTGACAAGAAGATTCCAAAACAAATTCATAGAAACACAAAACACAGCAGTTATCAGAAGCTGAGGGGTAGGTGAAAAAAGACATTATTGTGTATAGAGTTTCAGATTTGCAAAATGTAAAGTTCTGGAGATCTTTTTCACAATATGAACATATTTAACACTACTGAAGGGTGCACTTAAGAGAGATTAAGATGGTAATGTTATGTGTTTTTATCACAATAAAAAAATTCAAAAATAAATTTTAAAATTTAACATTTACTGAATTATCCATGACTCATAATGGACACCAATAATTATTATGGAAATTAAGCACAGGTACAGCAAACAAAATACCCACCCATCACACTAATTCCTAAAAGTTTCTGAAAGCAAATAGTCTAAATTCTACAAAATCAGTATTTTAAAAAAACACATGATCCTACTTACCGTGGTTTGTCTCTTTTTTCTCTTTGTCTTTCAAAATCTCGTCCTCTGTCCTTTCCATCTCTTGGTTTTTCTTCTATCCTGTCTTTTACCTTATACTTTTCTTTATATTTTTTCCCCAGAGAAGTATCTTCCGGTATAGGTGGGGGTGGACTAGGAGTGCGTGGTCCTTTCTTTTTACTTTGGTTGCTTTTTGAACTTCTGAAAGTAACGTGAAGCTATCATTAAAAGTTCAAATATTTCTGAAAGGCCAAATGGATTTTTTTAAGTAATTTTTTTAAATGGCAGCATTTCTTTTAATTACCTGCCCTTTTTTATTTTGTATACTAGTAATCAATATTCAGGGGGAAAAAACAAACAGAAATAACTTATTTTGTTAATGATTATTATAGAAGCTTCATGACATTGGATTTGACAGTAACTTCCTGGCTATGACACAAAAGCAAAAAGAGACAACAGAATTACATCAAACTTTAAACTTTTATGTGTCAAAGGACAAAATCAACAAAGTGAAAAGGCAACCGAAAGAATGGGAGAAAATATTTGCAAATCATCAGTGGAAATGGCTGTGTGTGAGTGTGTGTATGTGTCACACATTCAAGGAATATCCTATTATAATGTTTTATAAGATTTCTTTTCACATAGACATGATGTGAGCATCTTTCTATAACAAAAAGTAGATTTAGGTCATCGTTTTTATAAACTGTTCAGAATGTCCTTGAATAGATGCATCAAAACTTTTTAAAACGATTTCACAGTGATAAGTTTTTCAGGTGGCTTCCAAGTTTATATCATTAAAGAAAATATGATCATATAATCTACACATGAAGTCTCAAGCAGTGTTCGTACACATTCATTTAAATCTTTGACTCTTACATTCATTTAAATCTTTGACTCTTATTTAAGATAATTTTTCCAACTCTTAGATAACAAAAATAGTTGCTTAAATTTTGGAATTTAGTCTTTCACATTTTGGGTATATCGACTATCTTCATTAAGTGCCTCTTTCTGGCACTTTAACTAATTTTGTGTCAGTAGCACTTTAACTAATTTTGATCTCTTGTATATCCAAAACTGGCAGTCTTTGCCTCACACCTGATCAATGGTTTGATTGAATATAGTATTTTCCTGTCAAAATTCTTTTCCCTCAGAGTTCTATAGTTGTAATATCTTGTAACATTCAGTGTTGCAAATGAGAAGTCCAATGAGAATCAAATTTGTTATTCTTCAGATGACCTCATTTTTTTGTTGGGATGCTTAGAGAACATTATTCCTTAGAAAATTATTCACTCCTGGAGTCATGCTTCTCTTTAAATCTTAACCCCCTCCCCTACCTTGGGGAGGTGAATTCTTTCTCTCTCTTTTTCTCTAATCTACTTTCTTAATAAACTATATTTTCCAATCTAAAAAAAAAGAAAAAGAAAATTATTCATTGGAAAAAATTTTTCACAAAGTCCAGGTATTTTTAAAAAATCGTTTCCAGCACTTAATAAACTATTTCAATTTGAAACTTTCAAGTCTTTTACTCAATTTCTTCTATTTTTTTCATCACTTCTCCCTAAGAGCCATGTCTCTGGAGTTCTCTTTATTATACAGTCATTGCATCTCTTGGATCTCTCCTCCCTGTCAAATGTGTCATTTCCATCTCTCCTTCTGTTTTTCCAATATTTTAAACTTGTCCTTAAATTCAGTAATTTTTCTTTTAAGTAATACCCATTCTACTAATTCTGAATTACTAAAATATGACAAAATCTATTTTCATCCATGCCTTCTGCCAACAATTGTATTAACCACATATCTCACTGCATATTTATAAGATGACTCAAATTTCTTATGCATCTAGCACATAAGTGATAAATGTCCATATTTCTGAATATTTTTCCACTTTAAAGATAAAGCCTAAATAGTAGTTGGCATATGTATCAAAATTATTTTTTAAAATTTCATTAAATGATAGAGGAATTCTGGATATAAACTATTTTCACATTATTGCCTGTGATAGGGACTAACTAGGTATTTAATAAACTTTTCTTCTGGCCACAATACTGAACCACATTATCTACTCTTTTTTGAAATTAGGTGTGGCTAAGTGACCAAGATCTGGCTGAAGGAATGTGAACAGAAGTGATGAATACCATTTCCAGGCCCAACTCTCAAAGGACTCTCATATGCCAGGCAATTGTAAACTATAGAACTAAATAACTGCAATTCTCAATTTTCTTTGTATATCCATTCTTTTGCTTCTTGAAAGCCCAAGAAAGTGAAGCCATTGTCAGAAGCACTCTGGGTCACTGAATCCCCATGTACAGAATAGTTGCTTGTTAATTAAAAACATCTATTTTAGGCCGGGCTAGGTGGCTCAGTCTGTAATCCCAGTACTTTGGGAGGCCATGGCAAGTGGATTGCCTTGAGCCCATGAGTTCGAGACCAGCCTGGGCAACTTGGCAAGACCTCATCTCTACAATAAATAAATAAAAAATTAGCTGGGTGTGGTGGTGCACGCCTGTAGTTCCGGCTGCTTGAAAGGCTGAGGCAGAAGGATCACTGGAGCCCAGCAGGTTGACGCTGGGGTCGCCATGAATGTGCAACTGCACTCCAAAGCCTGGGCAACAGGGTGAGACTCCACTCAAAACAAAACAAACAAACATCTATTTTGACTTCACAAGAATGAGAAGTAAACTTCTGTTTTAAACTGCTAACGTTTTGGGAATTAGCTACAATCACAACTAAAATTATTCTAATATACTTACTAAAGTACAGAATTTCTCACATTACCTTCAAAATTATTTGTGGTTAGAAAACACTATTATGTCACAGAGCTTTTCAACTGAAAAGGCAAAATTGGTCAACAAGATCTTCAACATTTTTTAAGTCTAATGATTATTCTTTTATTTTAAAAAATTATTATTTTTAGAGACACAGTCTTGCTCTATTGTCCAGACTGGAGTTTAATGGTGAGATCATAGCTCACTGCAGCCTTGAACTCCTGGGCTTAAGTGATACTCTTGCCTCTGCCTTCCTAGTAGCTTGAACTATATAGGTGTGCACCACCATAACCAGTTAATTTTAAAACTTTTTTTTTAGTGGAGTCTTGCTATGTTGCCCAGGGTGGTCTTGAATGCCTGGACTCAAACAATCCTCTCACCTTGGCCTCCCATAGTGCTTTGATTACAGTCATGAACCATCACACCCATCTTGATTATTCTTTTAGTGACAATCTACTTCCTATTTGTGGCATAGAGCCCACCAATCTACTTTTATCATTTTTTTAATCTTTTCTCTCTCTTTCCTCAAAATTATTTCTTTAGATCAGCTTTTGACATACTTTGTACTTCTTTGTAAAAAGAACTATAAAGAAGAATTTACCTAATAAAAGCTAAGATTAAAAATGCAGATGAGCAGAATAACATACTTATGATTTTAAACCACACACTGTATCTCACATATCGGGACCAATTTTACTATCAGAGTACATCTCACAATGAATGTCAAAGAAAAGTGTCAACTTTCAGAGAAAAGTGTAGATTTTAATTTGTCAGTAATTATATCTGCCCATTCAATATGATAACCTAATAAGTCTAAGAAGTTTATTTACCTGATTGTCACCTCGGCTGACATACTAACATGGGCTGAAATATTCCACTGAATTTTAACTGAAATTGTAATCTTTACATGTGCTTCAGTTTATAGTATGATCCAACAATAAAATTAAAAGTTGATTATCTGACACACTCAAGGCTAAAGAAATGCTATACTTCAATTCAATGTTTTCCACATCCTTTACTTCTCTTATTAAACTAATGGTGCACCTTAAAATCAATGACATATTAAATACAGTAGTTAAACCAGTGTGAGTAATTATTCAGGACAAATATTTATTAAACGATGATAAACAGTTAATAATAAAGCAGTAAAAGAGTATATAAAGAGGATGAAACTCTTCATCTAGTTATGAAAACTTTCTGTGAAAATATTAAATTTCAAAGATTTTATAAATAGAAAAAGAAAATGAAGAAAGGGTATTTCTAGTATGCAGTTAGTTGGAGAAATGAATGGAATCAAGAGAAAGTTACATAATCAATTAGCTAAGATAAACAGTAAGTGAGGTGGAACACATCACTCACTCTATGATTCAACTTCTTCAATATCCCTTTGTAATATTTACTCAATCCCCCCATCGAAGCTGGACTGGATTTAAAAAATTGGCACATATACACAATGGAAAATATATGCAGCCATAAAGAAGGACAAACATATGGACTTTACAGCAACTTGGATGGATTTAGAGTATATCATACTCAGTGATCTATCATAGAAACAAAGAACAGAGTTCCAAATGTTCTCACTCATAAGCGGACCTTGAACAATTATCATAATACTATAACAAAAGGATTGACAATAGTGGGAAACTGCGGGGGGGGGCACATCTCTTCAACAAGGGTACCTGCATAATGAACACTGTATACCTAACCTTGAATTGTACCCCACATCTTTAAAATAAAAATTTTTTAAAGAAAAATAAAATAAAATGCAAAACCCCAAAGTAGACACTGTGAGAAGACAGAACTATGATCCCAACCTTTAAGGTGCTTACATTTAACAGAGGTTACAAAACATACACAGTACAGCTAAAATATAATTTATAAAAATATTATTTTTATAAATACAAACTGCAAAAGGCAATTTTATTGGAAGGTACATAAACAAAATCTGATAGATATTCAAAGGAAACAGAAATTATGTTCAGTAAGGAGAAATGGGAAAACATTGGAAAATTTGTATATTTTGGCTAGAGATCAAAGCATTTAGGGTATAACAGGGTAGGTTGGAAGAAATGAGTCAAAAATATTGACAAGAAAAAAATGTCAAAGTGTAAATGTCATTCTAAGGGATCTGAATTTCATTCTAGAGAATGGAAAACCATCTTTCAATGGCATAATAAATTAGTTGGAATTGTCCTTTCAGAATTTCTCTGACAGGATCTGTAAAATAAATGAGTTGGGGTAGCTGTGAAAATGTGTATGTGGGTGGGGAGTAGACATGACATTAAGTAAATACAGTTCGTAGGATGATATAATCCAGGCAGAAAGTAACAAGAGTCTGAAACAGGGTCAGAATCTCTAGTACTGGAAGGAAGATAAATATGAGTTTCATCATGGGTTTGGATAGACAGGGCTTGCCAATTGATCAAATGCTAGGAAAAAGAGGTGTCTCGTTTAAAAAAAATAAAATTAGAATATGTACTTTAATTAAAATAAAATGTAAACAGTATAGAATGACATTAAATGAAAAATTGTCTCTTTTTTATCCTTAATTCTTCAATGCAATTATATTTAATCATTTCTATTTTCATTTCTTCAGCTGGCTGCTACAGTAATTCTAAATAGTCATGCTGCTAGGTACACACAACAAAGAACCTAATCTCTTGCTGCTCACATACACAGAGACAAGAAGAATGTTTATTTTGTATAACTTACACTAGCTTTAAAATAGCAAACAATACAAACGCTCGACAATATAAAAGTAGACAAATACACAGTATAAATACTAAAATGAATGAACTGAGGTTACATACATCTATATATATATATATATATAAATGTTAAGCGAAAAGCAAGTTACAGAAGGAAAGTTAAGATATTCTTGTATTACAACAGTGAAAGTAATACTATATATAGCAAAACTTATATATATTGAAAGTATAAACACACATGTCCAAGTATAATAAATACCAAATTCAAGAAGAAGAAACAGAAAATTTATGTGCAAATTTTATTTATTTATTTTTTTAGGTTTTCTTTGCTCTTTTTTTTTCTTAAATCAATATTTTTTATTTTAATATTGTGGGGTACAGTTAAGGGCTAGGTATACAAATATGCTTCGTTCAGGCACCCTTGTTGATAAGGGGTGTCTCCCCGTCCCCAGACAGATATTGACTACCGTTAATCCCACCTCCCTTCTCCTCCCCCCCATAGTTTCCCACCACTGTCAATCCTTTTCTTATAGTATTACGATAGATGTTCAAGGTCCACTATAAGAGTGAGAACATGTGATACTCAGATCTTTGTTTCTGTGAGAGATCACTCAGTATTATAGACTAGAGTTCCATCCAAGTTGCTGCGAAATTCATGATTTTGTTCTTTTTTATGGCTGTGTAGTATTTCTTAAAAAATAAAAAACTGAAGCACTTATGGATGTGACAAGTATTTGTCTTATTGTTTTCTCTTTAACTGAAACATTTCAAACTTATTTAAAATAAAAAAAGCTTACATTAAATATTAAATGTATTAAACATACCCTTCTAGAATCTACTAAATAATTCTTTTTAGTATCACTTCAGAAAAAAGTTATTATGATACTATTTATCACCCTACTGACCTCTGCTGGTCCAACAGGGGAGAAGATACTGCAGATGTCTTCCTATCTTTCTTGCTAGCTGAAGACGATGACTTTGGGCTTGATTTTCGCTTTGGAGATTTGCTAGACTTTCTTAGAGAAGGTGACGGAGATAATTTTGATCTGACCACTTCTGGTGAAACCTTTCAAAATAATTCAGTAAGTCACTTCAGAAATTCCTCCACCTATGATACACCAAAGCTTATAGTATTTTAAAATCACAGCAAATTTCAGATTAAAAATTAAGTATTACCGGATACAGTAGCTTGCACCTGTAATTCCAACTACTAAGGAGGCTGAGGTAGGAGGACCCCTTGAGGCCAGGAGTTCAAGGTAAACCTGGGCAACATGGAGGGCTAGGGAGCTGGAGGGAGAGGAGGAGTGGGGGTGGGGTCACTTGAGCCCAGGAGTTAGAGGTTGCAGTGTGAGCTATGATGGCACTACTGCAACCAACCTAGACAACAAAGCAAGACCCCATCTCTAAAATTAAAATGAAAATAAATAAAATTAAGTATTGCAATCACTACCTATTGATATTAGACAGACTCCTGAACTCATCATTTTAACTAATATGATAATTGTCCTAACGTAAAAATATCAATAAAGTAAATTAAAATTAAGAAATTCCAAAATCTGAGAAAAATCGCAAATTATATTTAAATTCATTATATCTTTACTTTATAGAAAAGAAATAAGGCATTCTAGAAATAGTGTGGGCCTTAAACAAAGATATGTGTAGATTCAAATCCCATTTTACATTAGCATGTGACTCTCAGTCACAGACCTCAAAGTTTTGATCACCTATTAAATAGCATAAATATTTCCTATTTATCTAACAGATTAATGTAAAGAGTAAATGATTATATAGGGAATAGCTCAAATACAGTGAGTTGTTCAATGTATCAGCTTCCTTGTACAATTTACCATGCAGTAAGCTGCTCAGTGAGATATCTGATTAATATTCTGTTGCTATTAATTACTAACATTTATTGGAATATATAGCATACCTCCTTTTTAATGATAATTTCTTCTCTCTTCTCCATGTTTTCTTGTTCCAGCTTCATTAGTTCCCTTTGTATCTTCTGACGCTTCATTTCCAATGACAATTCATGAACATAATCATAATTAATATCTCCATTGTCAGAATCTTAAAAATATAAATTGCATTACTGTCAGAAACTAGCATTATCTATACAAAAAAATTATAGAAATTTTTGTCTACTAACTTCTTAAGTCAATTTAATGGCAGATACTTTCATCAGGACAACATATTTTCAAAAGATAAGAGAAATGAATCGTTTCTATAAAGAATTAAAATTACCATGGCTGATTTTTTAAAATACAAAGTCAAGTATTTTTAAGGTTTTCTGGAAATGATTATGGCTTTTTGGGTGTGGGGTTTTTTTTGTTAGGAGATGGAATTTCAAATGACACAATTAAGACACTTAGTGGAATATTCTAAGCCTTAAATATACCAAAGCCTTAAATATTTCATGTTGTATATGATACGATTTATTATTGCCTCAATTTTCCTAAAGATACATTACTAAAGTAAGGTTGTGTTAGGTGTGCAACATTGCTTCTATAGTCTATCATTTTTTAAATTTGCGAGACTACTTATAATACAGTATTAACTAATTTTAATGCTAATATATACATAAGATGATTTTTTAAGGATTTATATAACATTTCTATCACAAGTGATCTGTAATGCTTCCTTAAATTAAAACTGTTCATTTAATGGGTATAATGGCATGATTCTATTTGCATTTAATATTTTTTGAAAAAAATTAACTACATTTGGTTAAAAAGAAAAGGATGAGTAGTATCCAGATCTATTTATTACAATGGCTACTGGCACCCAATCCCTCATGCTCATTTGCCACAAATGCCAAGAAATTTGGAGAAGGGAATTTCACTGACTTCTACACTAACAAAGGATATCATGTTGGACTGACTGATCATAAACTGAAGTGCCTTCTCAAGCGGCACTTTGAGAGCTTTAGATCACTTCTTAACCTGGAGTAAAGAAATGAAAAGAAGAACTGAAAAATGATGAAGACTACCTGGTCCTAAACCAAGTGAAGAGAGGATCAGCTGGAGGCCCAAACCACTGCACATAGATTACTGATGTATCTAATCCCTGACTTGTACCTCACATCTCTATAATAAAGTAAATTTTTAAAAATGATGAAGACAAGAAGTCCTAGTTGACTGCTTAAAGCACAAAAAAATGGACATCATTGTCACATATAGCTCAAATGTATTAAAATGACAACTATCCATCCATGTTTGGGGACTGAGAAGGTAACTATATATTCATTATTTACTTGACTAAACTTGATTACTCATCTTATGCTGAAGTACAAAGGTAATTTCTCAGTAATTATATAAAATAGACCAAATTGGGTTTTTTAGCCAGAAAGCAATTACTAAATATTTAAGGTCACATAGGCACTAGAGAAAATAACTGGAGATACTGAATTTAGTTAAATGATCTCTAGCTATTATTTTGCACTCCACGGAGACACTTTACATCGGTGAATGATATAGGAGTCAATGATCCAGTTTGATTATGTTCTTAAATTCAATAGAAGTCCATAACCAAAAATCCATGTCAAACAAAAAAAAGCACAATTAATTAAAAAGAATGATTAACAATGTTTTGAATGTACAGTATTACCAATAATACCTTGTCCATCTAAAAACTGCTATCTAGAAATATTATCAATACAGAACACACATTAAGAAATGAGAAATTGAGCCGGGCTCGGTGGCTCAGCCTGTAATCCCGTGCCTTTGGGAGGCCGAGGTGAGTGGATTGCCTGAGCCCATGGGTTCGAGACCCGCCTGG